ATATCGAAGCGAATTTATCTGGAATTGTTATCATTAACCCAAATTCTTTATTACGCATTAATTAAATCTTTTACACGATATATTTACCTAAAAATGGATCGCAAAATGTGTTGGTAAGCGCATAACTCAACAACGCCTGAACCAATTTTGCTAATTCTTTTTTTGTTGTGTTTGTTATTGTCAGGAGAAGGTTTTTATCAAAGAAAATATTAGAAAAGTAGAGGGGAAAATTGGTAAAAAGTGGCCCTTTGATAGCGAGATAGTTGGACCCGTGCGAAGCGGGGGCGGGCCGCTAGTACGATATAAGTATGTTTATATAAAATATGTATATAATCTAAATAGTAGATGATATAAAGTCAAAATCCTTTATTCCTTTTTTACGTTTGAAGTCAATGAACGTTAGAATGGAGAAGAAAGAGAAAGAAGCTAAAGCGTGACTCTTAAAAAAAAAATACTCTGTGAAAAATATAAGTTTCCACTGCTGAGCAAAGGCCTCTTCTCACACGGAGAAGGTTTGAGCATTAACCACCACGCTTGCTCAAGGTGGATTGGCGATTTTAAATTTATAATTCGAAATTATAAGTCCAGGTTTCCTCACGATGTTTTCTTTCACCGTAAAAGTAGTTACTTCAAACGGGTAATTATGTATCAATCACCTTTTCACTAGAAAAGTTATTCCCCGACTGCAGAGGAGGCATTTCTTTGAAAAATGACAGCCATTACAGTTTTACGATCGAATACGATGAAAAACTTAATTTGTATAAATTTTATTTCAAAGAAATGTAGGTACTTATGTACCTATCATTATTATTATATTACTGTATTACGTACGTAGGTAGGTGTAATACGTCATTTATTTATTTATGCACGAGATAAATAATAGAAGAAGGTACAAAGGTACTGAATACTATTTTGGGATGGATACTCGCAAAATCAGAAGAGTTATAAGTGCGTTGCCGGCCTTTTAGATTGGGTTTCGGTAACCTCATTCACAAGCTGAAGAAACGCAGCGGTTTTTTGGACGTCGGTTTTCTGTGAGACCGTGGTATCAGTCCGGTCGAGTAGGAATAAGGATTTCTAGTGTGCGAAAATAATGAAATTAAATTATTTAAAAAAATCAAAATGTTCCCGTTCCTTCTCCTGCTCAAGGCTAAGGCCGCAGTACCTAATTGCGCTTACCCCGCAACCCCGGCTGAACATCAGCCCTATAGGGCCCCGTCTGTGGTGGTCCATTGGCTCTTTGAGGTGCGCGCGGTACGCTATGCGCCGTACGCTCGGGTTCCGGTTTCGGTCGGGCGACGAGCTACCCTTACTCGCCGTCCTCAGAATCGGGCTTACGGTGGTCGAAGATCGTCAGTCGACCACCGCCCCCGGATCGAATGTCCTCTGCATGGTCCTCACAATGACGACACTCGGGCGTTTCCTCCCGCTGGATCCGAAACAGGAACCTACCGAATCTGCCGTGGCCGGTAAGCGTCAGGCAAAAGGTGAAGACGCCGTGGCGATTCTCCAGCCATTCCTCAAAGAGAAGGTCTTACCACTTTCTCTGACGCTTCCCAGACGTCTTTCAAACTAGGCTAAATACTTATGGGGAAACTCGGACGGATGGCAACCCTATTTCTGTGTAACACGGGACATAGGCGTGACTAGGTTTGTATTTACCAAAAAACCAGTTAAATTGATCACAGTTAAATATACTCAGCGTTAAACCAATAATGGTTTTAGGTGTTAGCTTGTCGTGTTAATCTGTGACTTGTTGGTCTTTCTATACATATAAATAAAATAGGAATATCTGTTTGTAATACCTATTGAAATATCTAACTGATTACTATTTACTACCTGACTGTACGCATATCTATACTAATATTATAAAAAGAAAAAATTTTAAGTTTTTACTATACGGCCGTTGTATCTTGGCGAGTCTGAAGTTAGCCGAGTAGCTGCGCAGTACACAATTTTGTTCCTAAAAGATCCATTGCGCAGACAAACGGCTAACTTCAGACTCGCCAAGATACGTCGGCCGTACTGTATGTAGGGGGTTATCTTTGGAACCGCTGGTCGGATTGCCAAAATTCTTTCACTGATAGATAGCTACAACATTCCTGAGTGCTATAGGCTATAAAACATCAAGCTACGATCAAATGGAGCCGAGCAGCGGGTGAAACCGCGCGAGAGTAGCTAGTAATATTATAAAGCTATAGAGTTTGTTTGTTTGAACGCCATAAGCTCCGAAATTACTGGTTCGAATTGAACAAATCTTTTTGAGTTAGTTAGACCATTTATCGAGGAAGGCAATAAAACATCACGCTACGACTTGCAGGAGCAGCGGGTGAAACCGCGCGAAAGCAGATAGTGTGAATATATACGGTACATACACAAAAAGAACACTTACAATTTTGTCGGTCGGTTTGTTTTGTAATATCTGGACAGATAAGATATAATAATATGAGATTTTGACCAGTCTTTTATTGGTAGGTAGCTGATGTAATAAGGAGTTACTTAGGCTACTTTAATTTTAGAGCAATTAGGTAGTTTCCTGGGTCAAAAATAAATTAATTCGACGTTTCAATACAATAAAATATTGAAAAATAACTATAATTTTATTCATCTATCGATCGATGCCCTAAGTTTTAGATATTTTATAGCCAATTATTAAGAAATAAGTAAGCGATTTGACGCAAAAATACTATGATGTCATAGCTCAGTTTTTCATACAAATTTCATAGAAAAGTATCATTTTTGACATTGGATAAAAGTTAACTAAAATTCGCGGGTTACTCACGTGTAAATGATGAGAAAAGCTCTACTAGTTTCGAACCACAGAGGGGTTCTTCCTCATGAGCAGCGTGCGCGGACGCGGCGACGTCGCGCAGTAGGCTAGTAGGCTGCGCGACGTCGCCGCGTCCGCGCACGCTGCTCATGAGGAAGAACCCCTCTGTGGTTCGAAACTAGTAGAGCTTTTCTCATCATTTACACGTGAGTAACCCGCGAATTTTAGTTAATTTAGTATGTCTCACGATAGTTATTATAAAAACTTGGATAAAAGTATTGAATTTGACTAGTTGGAAACTACCGTACTGTTTTATTTTCATCTCGAAAAAATATAATTATGCCGCACGATAGCGATATCAAAATTTACGCGGACGAAATCGCGGGTATGAGCTAGTTATATGTAGGCATGTGTGAATTTAACGGTGCGTTGTAGGCAAATAAATTCCTTTTCAAATTTTTGTATACTTTAATAATACAAAGCTAAATAATTTATGTTTGAACGCACTAATCTCTGAAACTGCTGGTTCGAATTGAACAAATATTTTTGAATTGGATAAGTCGTTTATTGAGGTAGATTATATGATATAAAACATCACGCTACGGCAAAAAGCAGCCGAGTATCGGGAGAAACCGCGCGAAAGATGCTATCGGTGATAAAATTTGTATTTACCCACAGCTGAGCAAATACCACTTCTCACTTCTCATGCGGAAAAGGTTGTAGCACTAATCAATATGCTTGCTCAAGGCGGATTGGATATTTCAAATTTTATTAATTACAAACCTAGGTTTCCTTACAATGTTTTCTTTTGACCATATATCAGTGGTGTGTAAATTATGTATGAAAGTACATACTACTTGGAAAAGGTTGCAATTAGCAGTTGTTTGGAACCAAACTCAACATCATGCTTGCACCTTAGTATTATACAAATAATTTAGCTATTAGAGAGACTGTTTATAATAATTTCTTACAGATATCATAAGCATTCTTCTGCTCACAAACCTTTGAATCCAATAAGCTACTATGAAGTGCTAGACTGATTATTTAAATTTTTAAAGTGTGTGAGATCTGTGCCTCGCTTTGGGCGCATCAAATGTTCTAGTTCAACTAGTTGAACAGCCTATCAGAAATACTGTATGAATCAAAGCTTGCTATGTTGTGTTGTATGTGCTACCATCTTATCTGATGGTAAGCAATCAGCACCGCTCATGGAAACCCATAAAATTGAGGAATTACAATTGCATAGCTGACCTTTCAGGGGTTAATGATTTGGCCTTGTTAGACAGTAGGATTAACCCTCTGGTAACCTCATTCATACAGCAAAACACAACTTAAGCATTATTTCACCCTGTCTTCCTTGAGATTTTGGTGTCACTCCAGTCAAAACCATACCAGACCAGTACCCAGTTGGTTCATAAATTAATTTTACATATTATATAAAAAATTTCACTAAAACAGTATTTAATATACTAATAGGGAAACAATTTTCCTTCAAACACAGACAGCATTAAAACAGTTTTGGGTGTGTCCCACAAAATCTCATACAGTTTGATAAATAATATAATTTTAAAATATGCATTAAGCTTAAAAATAACTACCTTAAGTATAAAAGGCTGGCTATATAGTAATTTCATCATTTATCGCGAAAATTTCTAACTTAATAAACACAACAAAAAGTATGTCATCAAAAGAGTTCAGATAAAAAAGTTCAAATCTTAATTTAAAAATAAAAACAAAATTTCTAATCTTTCCTTTGCGAATAATGTAAAAAAATATTAAGGCATTAAATTGTCTATGATCTAGAAAGTGTGTCAAGTATCTTCCGCGCGTTACTAGGTCACTAGAGTTTATACACATACTTATTTATCAACAGACAGAAAGATGTTTTTTTCGTATTATTAACTTACATGATAATATTTGCGAGCGGAACACACTATTTTACTGCACGTTAGGACGCACTTAAACTTATTTTAAACTGATTATTCTTCACAATCACGCAATCTTTTATGTAAACTACTGACTCCGAACAATGCAATTTTTCATTCATTTCAGAGTGAAAAAGAACTGAATACATACATCTACGCACTGATAAAAGGACGTAAATAGTATCAGAATCGATCACAGCCGAGATCTCTCTTTATTATTCAAATTATTTGAATAAATACACCACCAAAGTTGTCTCTTCAATTTCACTTTTCCGTGATGATAAAAAAAATATTTTTTTACTCACCAGTAGAGTTATTATGTGCTGTTTTCTATTTGAACTGAATACACGTATTATGAGGTCTGAACCTATGATTTATGCTACGGTAAAATGTTCAGATTTATTTTAGAAATTAAAATTATTGTTAGCGTAACACACTTCTCGCCATTTTCGGGGTGACTGACGTAAGTGACATAAAGAAATTTTTCTACCATCTGTTTTCTGTCAATGTCAATTGAAACGTCAATTTTAGTATTGCCATTTACGAGGTAAAGTTTCGTACCAAAGATACTAATACCTTTCCTTTAATCTTATTGAATCTGAATGTGATTTGGTTTTAATTTACAGTATTTTAAGTACGTATTAAAACAAAAATATACATAATAAAACATGTTTCGATATTTAGCATTAGGTATAGTCGCAAAAAAGTTTTGCCTAATTTTATGATATGAATACTATATAAAGAGGCGAATTTGTACATGGTTCGTAAAATGCGTTCCTATAGATAAGTTTGGTAGAGTCTGAAGCGTGCGTCAGTCTATTACGATTTGATAGTATTCCGAGGATAGTACGTTATGCAAGTATGTTCGGTAGTAATTTACAGAAAATAAATCTTAAAATGCACAAAGCTGTTCAAAAGACGTGCAGCAGGGAATCATGCTTTTGAACGAATGAAGTACCCTATCACCAAAATCAATGGAATGGATTTAATTTTATTCCTTAAGCTATCACACCTCGCCCGCACTAATATCCAGGTGTTGCAGGTGACCATAGATGGCGCTGTTTGTTGCCATCAAGTTCCTTGTCTGATCGTTTGCCATCATAAGCCCGAAAAAAATTAACATTGCGCCCCTCATTCAAATCCAAACGCAGACGATCAAGACGCAGTTATCGTTACTCGAGGTTACAATACATATTCTTCATATCTAGTTCATTATATAGTTTTCAAATAACAATAATCTTATAAATAGCTTAATTAATCTAGTTCTTATAGTTATAATTTCTATATATTTTGTCTGTACAAACACATAATTTTAAAAATGTTGGTTAGCTCGTAACTGGCTAATGTATAAGACGTACTAGCTATAACGAAAACTTCTAACTACTTCGTATAAGCGTTGAGTCTACCTAATAATAAATAAATAATCTGTCATAAGTTTCATCACATTCAATATTTCCCTTCAACTGTGCCAGAAAAAAGTGTAACCAATAATTAGGTACAAAAAATCTTTATTGTTAAAGTTGTGTTTATTATATTATTGCATAATTTTGTGAACGAAAACATGTATAAACATCATCGCCATGTACAGCGGGTCATCTGGCAACAAAGCAAGCACACTGTCAGTAGGCACATTAAAGATATCACCTTTTCTGAAACAGTACTTTCTAAGCGACAATGGGGTTGTACTTTTTGGCGGAGCTTCAGTCATTTCTTCAGCGAACGCCTCATAAAACGCATAAAAGTATGGTATGACGATGGTTCTCCCAAACCAAACCCAGAGTAAAACAAAAAATGTAGTAAGCAGTATCACTTGGCAGAACACGTAGAAATAATACGGAAAGATGATCGGGTCCGGTGTGGTAAGGTGAGTAATTTTGCAGACTAGCCATTGTATCAACATCCAGTAAACGATGCATTGATTTGTCCCAGCGCAGATCGATACACAACAGCCCCAGAACCTTGTACATAGTACATACGGGAAGCAAAATACTTCAGACCAATTATATTTGAAAACATCGTCAGTCTGGGCTTGGAAGCTTTGTGGGTGAGCGTTCTGGGAGCTTTGCAATTCTTCGGAACGGTGCGGCTTTCTCTTTGGCGTCATACTTAAATTTATCCTTACAAAACTATAATTTTTATTCCACTAATAATATATTGTACTCATAATTTGGATTTAAGAGAAACTGATTTATTCATAAGTTATATAAATTAAAACATGAAAATTAGAAAAAAAAACCTTATTCCCACATCACTTATCCTATCCGCCGGCTTTCATTTGACGGTTGTATTTGGCAGATGGCAGTCGATAATGAAAAAAAATATACTTTATGGTCAGGCTGAAACGTCCGGCTGTCATTATCGTGAGGAATACCCAGAGGACATGACTAAATTAATATGTTGTCCTCTTGTCCTTAAGGTTAACTTTTTTTTCTAATTGTTTGCCTAAATATTAGTGTTACTCTGTTCTCTCATATCTGAACCGACTAAATGATGTAACAAAGAAATAAATTGTAAAACTGATTGACAAAGAGTAACCACTCCATGGTTACTCTTTTTCTCGCTCGTTCTTCGCTATCGGAATTTACACTTTGTAACGAAAAAATAGCTTCACTAGAGGACAGACGGACAGACTGACACGCATAAATTTAAATTTAAATCTCTTGAAATATATTTTCTTTTTCTTTTTTGCTTGACGTTCAAAAGTGCCCACTGTGACCTAATTGAAATAAATGATTTTGACTTTGACACGGTGGAGCATTCGGTGGTAGTGTGCCTTGCTTGGGCTGAGCACCGCGGTGTAATAGTCGAGGCCATCATGTGAAGGAGCTAGGAAGCCGTCTCTGCTTTCTGTGATGCTCACAAAGGAGGCGGACCGAGTGAGGGACCTATCCTCCTCACGCTTCAGATGCCGCAGTAGGCGACGCTCAGGGCGTTGGGGATCGAGCGATGATCTCCGTCTACCACAAGCGCTGGTCTGCGGACACACGGCACATCTCTATCAAGAAGTGTGTGATCTCTTTAACCTTTACCATGCCCGGTGACACGTGACCACTGTGCCACCGTCTTCCCTGAAGTTATTGGGGACGACGCCTAGATTCCGCACTCCGTGCGCCCGTGACCCCAATGTTTGCCAGCATATAACTGAGGCAGAATAATGGCGTGTTAGGCGCAGAAGCGGTTGTTTCTGCGACGCCTTCTACGAACGGGATCGGACCTCTCGCACTCTCGCTCGGCAACCACCTTTTGGGACATTATAGTCTCACAAAAAGAAGTCATTTCTCTCCTATAATATGTATTTTCATAACAAGGCATTCGGCATAGCAAGTGTGGGAGAGCCATGCCTTGGCACGAATGGGTCGGCTCGACCGGAGTGATACCACAGCCTCACAGAAAACCGGCGTGAAATAACCACAGCGTTGGGTTTCGCTCTGCGAGTGAGGTGACCGGAGGCCCAATCCTTTTCCTACTACAATCCCTCCCCAGTCCCAAAATCTCCGAATACCTAACCTAAGCTCCTAAAGGTCGGCAACGCACTCGTAACTTCTTCGTCGTTGCAAGTGTTCATGGGCGGCGCTGATTGCTTAATATCAGGAAATTCGTTTGCTTGTTTACCGACACATCACAAAAAAATTGCCTTAACCACAGCCGGAAGAGATAGGTCTCGCCCGATCCTGGCAACCAGGCCCTGCCGTTCAGAGCCCCAAGCTGGGCACTCCTCGAGCGTGTGTTGTGCGGAGTTAAGTCCAGAAGTCCAGAATGGCTTCGACTACGCGTTTGCGTAAGTACTCCATCTATAATAGTCCTGCCACCTCAGTCTAACAAGCGCTATTCTTGGCACCTTACCGCCACCGTATGGTTATACCATATGTGACTTTTTTGAGTTCTACGTAAGTACTTTCTATGATTTAGACATCATTGGCAAGCGGTGAAGGAAGACATCGTGAGGAAACCTGGACTTAAAATGTCTAATTATAAGTTTGAAATCAACCTTGCAATCAGCCTTGAGCAAACGCTATAGTGAGATAAGGTTTTGCTTCAGTTTGCAGGGCACTCATGAGCTGATGATGATGTGATGATAAAAGAAAAATTGGTATGATGATTTAGGTGATGATAAACGGAACATTTAAGTGCGGGCGCGAGCGTTATTAAATTGGGCCGGCTCGGCCGGACTGATACGGCCGTCACACATGAAGGAACGGAACGAAACAAAACGTTTATCTTGCGGGTAAGGTTACTGGAGACTTAATACTCCTGCGCTTTCGTTCCTAACCTCCGAATCCAAATTCCTTAAATCCCAATTCCCAAAAGCTGGCAAAGACCTTGTAACACCTTTTGGGGTGCATGTATCCGATAGCTTACTATCGGGTAAAGCGCATACTCGTTATGACCAATTAAAACGATCTTTCTATGAAAAATAAAACAAAATATAGTTGTTGTCTTATATTTTTAAAGTAATTGATTTACCAAAACTTGTAATACGAAGGTAAGGATTGACGTAGGTCGGACAGTTAGGGGCGCCATACTTGTGTCGTCTGGTATATTATATAAATCTCGTTTTTTAAAACAATACTTTCTAAAAGACAAACGTCTCGATGAATTAGTTTTGTGATTTTCTCTCAGCATCATTGTTGAACCAGAACCAGAACCAGAGTCCTCATTGAATGCGATAGAAAAAGCGTCCATGAACGGAACTATGATATTACGTCCCCACAGCATCCATAAGGTCAGCCACAATACACCCAATAGGAAAACTTGAAAATACATGTAAAAAAAGTATGGGAAAAATATTGGATTTGGTGATGTTGCGCTTTTCACTTTACATATGCAATATTGAATTAACATTAAGTACATGAGCATTTGATTCGTTCCCGCAAACACGGACATGCAAAAATCCCAAAACTTGGCGAATATTGTATACGGAAAGCAGAATATCTCGAACCAAGATGTTCTGGGCTCTTCATTTTCTGTGAAAAACCTCTCTGTTCTAATATCATCGCAGCGGAATTCGTCTTTCTTTGCTTTATGCATCTTGAAACTATATTAAATTCACCATTCAATTCAATAATTTTTGAATATAGAAACTTAAGATTTGTTTTAATTGAATTTGTAATTGAGCTAGTATGAACATGGATATTTTGTTCTGAAAAAAAATATATATAATATAAGTATTAGACATTTAGCACCTACAAACAGATAAAATTATTATATCAGCCTCAGGCACATATCAAGCACAGCTGAACATATATATGATAAACTTTAGTACAACGCACTTTGACGATATCCTTTCCAACCCGCGTTCTGAGCGGATATTACGACACAAGCCTACTATGTTGTAGAGCCCCCCCCCCTAGTTCAAAAGTGGGAAGCCATGCGCCATTAATATAAAACAATAAACTTTCGATGAAGAGAGCTATGCTTGGAGTTTCTTTACGCGACAAATTCTGAAATGCTGAAATTCGCCAAAGAACCAGAGTTACCGATAAATCTCTTAAAATCTGCAATGGGCAGGTCATATCGCTCGAAGGACATTGCTGTAGTGGCGACCATGGACCGGAAGACATAAGTGCGGGCAGAACTTCTGCTAAATGTCCCGCAGACATCCTCAGAGTCGCAAGGAGCCAATGGATGCGCAAGTGGCGCCAAGTGGCGACTTGTCGTTCGATGTGTAGAACTAAGGGGGAGGCCTTGGTCCAGCACTTGACGTCTCTCGGCTGATGATGATGATGATAAAATGTCGTCAGGATTTTATGAAGTAGAATAACTTACTTTTGTTAGAATTAAATATAATGCTGCTCAGAATGTAACTTAAAGATTTCTTGTTAAACTGAAAAATCAATTACCACGAAACAGACAACGTTTCTGTTTTTTTTTTTAATTAAAACAAATATTATTATATCAAATCAATATCACTTATAAAAAGTTAATACAATAAAGTTATTAAAAATAAAATATCTTTGTGTATAAAATACAAAGAGCGTATAAAATAAAAACACACAGTCTTGTGTAAAATGACTGACATAAAATTGTCAAAATTTTTAAGTTTTAAATAACTCATAGATTAAAGAGTTGGAGAGTAGGTAGGTAAATGTATAAAGGAGGAGATGGAACGAGGTAGTATTTAGTAAAAAAGCTTGCTACTTGAATGTCGAATACATTAAGTAGGTACATGACTTACGAGTAAGGGTAGCTCGCCGCCCGACCAGAACCAGACCCGAGCGTACGGTGCGTAGCGTTCTGTGCGCGCCTCAAAGAGTCAATGGACCACCACAGACGGGGCCCCATAGGGCTGATGTTCAGCCGGGGTTGCGGGGTAAGCGCAATGAGGCACCGCGACCTCGGCCTAGAGCAGGAGTAGGAACAGGGGGGTTTTTAGTCAGTAAGAGTCTGACACTAGGCGGGAGAAGTCATTTGATGATTTTCCCCTTACAAAAAAAAAGTAGGTACATGACTTACCCCCTCAAAAAAGGAAAACGGGTCGGTGTTCCTCCGTGCAGCTATTTATAAATCATAAAACCTCAATAACACCGGGAATCGAAACCGATACTTTGGCCTTTGAATCAACCTTTCGTAACAATTCTCAGAAAATACATAAGTACGAAAATTCAAAAAGACAATTTGAGTCCTTTTATTTTCTGCGAAACACCATAAAATCACTTATGTTTGTGGAACAGAATCGCATGTCATAAATCGAAAATTCACATGATCGCATGTCATGAAGGAATTAAAAGTTAAGCACGCATGACCGTTGACTATTTAATTGGCTTCTAAATTAAGGCCCTAATACGTAAAGTTATTTAAATATAATCATGCTTTCATTCATCAATTTGACGATTTTTCTTCAGAAATGTGTTATTTGGCATGAAAAACATTATGTCATCATATATTGCGATCTCATACAAAATTTTAGTTTTTGATACTTCCATAAATTTATTGAATATGAACTTATTTGGTATTTTGACAGCACGGTTTGCGCGGTGGCTGGGCTGGGCTGTCGTGTAATGTGCTGCGAGTTCGATAACCGCACGGAACAACTCTTTACGTGATCGACAAATTATTATCCGGGTCTGGGTGTCTGGTGGTGTTTATTTATAATTATATTATATTATTATTCCCTTTGTTATGGTTCATGTGTTTCCTTGTTGCAGGATAATATTTGATTTGTTGCGATGTTCCCATGCAGGCAAATTTTTTTTTTATTTAGGTCCTTGTTAAGGAAGAAGGATGGTAAAAAAGGAAAAAAAAATACAAATATATTTTTCACACATATTTGTGTATTAGAAATACACAAATAAATGTATGTCTAGGTCCCGTACTTTGAAATTAGAACCAATTTTTCAATTTAAAACTTATACACAGGACCTCTCACTCAAAACGACACGTCAACTGCTTCAATATAGTTTGATTGTGGATTTGCATGTTTGTAAACGCACCTACGACACAGGAAAAATCCTAGTATTGTTTAAAAAAAAGAAAAAAAAAATTGACACAACTTGATTCCCAGTTTTAATTTTTTATATAGTACTGTAGGTGGATGTTACTCGTGTATGCCGAAACCTCTCCATAACAGCCACAAAAAAAAGTAGCAGATATTACCACAAACCTCGTTTGCCGGACATAACTCCTCAAATGACAAGTGCTGATGCCTCGGGCTCATTACTCATCATTTGGTAATGCCAATAAATGTAAATCCGTTTCTTAATTTCCCTGCGACACTTCGTCTGGCCCCATCCAGGATGGAAATAGACGCTGAATAGCTTTCGCTTCTCAAAGAAAATGAACTATTTAAAAACAGCGGTAAGGTCTTTTATTGTACAACAAAAACACATAATTACTATAAGCGTGTATTTCTAAATCAATTGATTTACTAAAACTTGTGATACAAAGGTGACTATCGTCGCAGGACGGACTGATAAGGGCGACATACTTTTCTCTTCTTGTGTGTCAAAAATGTCTCCCTTTTTAAAACAATACTTTCTAAAAATTAAACGTGTTACATTTGGTTTTGATTTGGTTTTCTTCCTTGGTACTACAATGTCTCTATAGTCTTGGGTCATTGCGTAATAAAAAGCTTGGAAGAACGGAATTATCACTGAATTTCCCCAAAGCAGCCATATTACTATGAATATAACTGTTATAATGGCAACTTGTAGAAACATATAGAAATAGTATGGATAAAAGATGGGGCTTGGCGATGCTGCTCGTCTGATTTTACAAATGCAATATTGGATTATCATCAAGTAGACGAGTAATTGGTTTGCCCCCGCACACATTGCCACGCAGCAATCCCAAAATTTCGATCCCAATATATATGGGAAGCAAAATATATCAAACCAAGTGTTGCCGCCTCCCACCTCATCTGTTTGTGTATAAAACTTTTCTCCTTTAACATCATCGCAGCGGAATTCATTTTTGTCAGACATTTCTTAATTTCAGTTTTCTACCGCGTTTATTTTATTTTTTGCTTATGGCAACCCTTTATTTCTTTCCAACTTTATATTTTATAGGTTGTAAGCCGATGAAGTTTCTTGTACCTATGTATCTGAAAGAAAATTATAATTGTATTATCTTAAGGGAAAAATTAGACAAATTATTATTATCATCCACATCTCCTGATATCCCTAGCACTCAAAAGGCCGGAAACGCACATACCTATCGCCCGTTTGGCGCCCTACCATAATATAAAGAGCTAGCGACCCCCTCCGATTTCTCACGGGTACCTGCAATACTGAAACTAGAAAGATTCACCGCTGTTAAATCGATGCTATTATACGTATAAATTGTTTTCTTCAATCACTCTACCTATTAAAAAACCGCATCAAAATCGGTTGCATAGATTTAAAGATGAAAGCAGACATAGGGATACAGAGACTATACAATACCATATGCGGAGAAATAAAGAGTTAATTTGAGTCACACTTTAATAAGAGATATGCCACGATGTATCTACTAACTAAGAAAAACTCCAGAAGTTTGTTGCAGGATTCTACAAATGTCTTGTAGAGCTTTTCACAGTTAATTCACGAGAGCTATTCACCCTTACCGTCGTTATCATCACGTTTTAGAATTCCTAAGAGTATCAGATCGTTGGTAACAATTACAATTCGTTTCTGAAATTGTATGCAAATCTTATTACATTTTTTTTTTTTTTTTTAATAGGTCGGCAAACGAGCAGACGGATTACCTGATGGTAAGCAATCAGCGCCGCCCATTGACACTCGCAACGGAGGAGTTACGAGTGCGTTGCCGACCTTTTAGGGATTAGGGATTTGGAGGTTTTGGGGAATAAGGAGGGATTGGATTGGGCCTCCGGTAACCTCACTCATACGGCGAAACACAACGCTGTGGTTGTTTCACGCCGGTCTTCTGTGAGGCCGTGGTATCACTCCGGTCGAGCCGACCCATTCGTGCCGAAGCATGGCTCTCCCACATAGGACTACTAATACTTTAACTGGTGGTTCCATCCTTTTTTATATCATAGGCAAACGAGCAGACGGTTCACCTGATGACAAGCAATCGGCGCTGACCATGGATAACGCTAAAGGTAAGTCACAAGTGCTTTGTCAGCACATTGTTTGTAGTTAGGGAAGAGTTCTAAATTATATAAAAGAAATAAAGATTTATTTCAAAATAGATTACTAAATCATTCATATGTAAAGAGATTTACTTACAAGTCAAGGCAAGGCAAGCTAACTGTTAATCCGTACCTATAAAACTTAATATAGCTATGAAAAAGTAATATCACTTCAAATTAAATTAAATTAAATATAATTATTAATTAGATAAAATAGTTTTAAAAATTAAAACTCTTAGTTTAAACTTATGTAAAAATTATACAATGAAATCCATCCACAATCATTCGCTGTGATGTGTTTATGACAATGATTGACGCAGCAGATAGTAGTAAGCAAAAAGTCTACAGTATAGTTGGCAGAAGAATGAAGAAGTAAGCAGAGGTATTTAATAACTGTCTAAACGACGGAATAATGATACGGATGCACTCATACACCAAATATTTGGTTATTTGAATAATGTTTTATGGACTCGGGTGGTACCTAAATCCTTTTCATAAAAATAATTTGTAGAAAACACAAAATTAAAATGCAACCCTCTCGCCATACCTTTGCCTTATGTTGTATTTAAAAAAGACGCTCGTGTCTATTTCTATTGTTTTGACAGTTGATAGATTGAAATTTGACGCTACTGAGCTTGTCTATGTTCGACCCTGTATTCAATATTTAATCTGTGATTTAGTTCCGTGTTGATCATGGTGGGGTGAAGTTACGCAGTTTTTCTAAGCAAATAAATTACGTATACTTAACGTAATAATTATGTTACGAATTTAGAAAATCACACAGGAACTGCAAGATTTTGCGTAATCCATGCTATATCGAGGATTAAGCACAGGTATTGTGTTTTTATGCTTTAAATTAAAAGTGAAAGTTTTTCATAGTGTGCGAATTATTTTCAAGTTATGTTTTAATATAATACAAGTGATTTGATATGCGTTTAATGAAAATAATTAGACGTAGATAATTGATGATTAAGTTGCCTTATTTATGTGTGTTTCATTGTAACTTAAACTGGTTTGATCGACCTTTGAATTCACTTATGAATCGGACTTAAGTTATTACTTAGACATAATAATAGCCTTGGTGGGTTTTGTCGTCATATTGTCCTTTAAAAGCAGTTAAAGAATGTAATACTTTACTACAAGTTGAATTTAGACCACAGCTTTGAGTCACGCGAACATTTTTTGCTCATACTTATAGGTATTACTATAACTTTTTAATTTTATTATAATAGTATTTTAACTTGAATCTGGATATTGTTATGTGTTAAGTAGTTGTAAGGCCTCTTTTGAGTTAAAAACTCCTTATATATCCTTACAAGCATGTTGTATTTATAAGATTTATTGGTTTTATTTTATTTTTTTGAAGGTATACAGAAAGTGGGAAAACATGGTAACTTAAAAAAAGAAATTATTTCAAATATTATTTACACATCTAGAAGGTGTTCAAATGTTTCTTGTTATATATATTTTTTATTTAATTTGTATAACACATAGTTAATTTTTTCTTAGACACTCAACATATTTTTTTATTAATTTTATTTATTTATTTGTAAACTTTTAGGACTTTAAAAAAGTTTAAGAACTGATGCAAATTAATATCATAATATGCCTTCTCTATTTGAATTTAGGATTGAAGTAGAAAAGTCTGTGAAAATATAGTATGGTGAATGATTTTCTGAAGAATAACACGGTATATATAATACACTATTGTAAATATGAATAATATCATATAGATATCTATTATATGATTACTGATATTCATAACTACAGTGAAGAAGGATTGGGCCTCTATTAAGCTCGCTCACACATCCATCGCTCTTAGCAAGCTGGCCCATTTGTGCTGAAGTATGGCTCTCCCACGCACACTTAAATTCAGCAATTCTTCTCAGAGTACTAAGATTGGAAATCTCCAGGACTTTTGAGCGGCTCTGATTAGTATTCAAATGGAATTCTCAATTTGATAAAATACTTTAATAAATTATTTCTCTTTCCAGATCGCTCACCCACAAAAATGGTCACAAAAATATTTTTTACGCTGGCAACTTTATTAACATATACAAACTCAGAGTATATTCCTCCTGGCCCATTATATCCGTGTCCCAAGGACTCCACGACAACCCTTTTATATCCGTGTGTCTGTGAAAAAGGGTCAGATAGTGGTTTATACATAAGATGTGAAAACACAGGGTTGGCAATACTTAGTGTTGGGCTTGGCAACATAGCTGGCTTGGGGTTGCCAATTGAAAAATTGGTGCTGAATGAGTGTAAAATAAGTGAGTATTTTATTTATTACATTCGTATTTGTACTCGTTGATGGATTTGAAAAATAAAAAACTATTGTTTAAAGGCCTGATTTTTCAATGGTTACATAAAAGTTAGCTGCGGAATAATTATGATGCTGTCGCGTCACAACATTTATCTGACTGTTGAAAAATCGGCCCTAAGAAGAATAAGTAGTTGTTTTCTAAAATGCTGTACACATTTATTCTTGGGCAAAACATTGCCATATACTAGTATTTTCTTCCTGTGGCGTAGGGGCAGTTGTTTACAAACTTTTATTTTCACATTGACATTGTACAATAATTTCTGTTTTATCCGTGCGGTAATCGAACCCACGACACATTGCCCAGAGAGTGTTCCATCTGTGTTATATCATAGTACCATAATAACACCTCTTTTAAAACGAAACCATGTATTTTTCTGTAATTTCCAGCAAACCTCTTCGGCCCTCTGTTCCATAGATCAACAATAAGAGTCATAGAGTTTATAGACACACCTATCAAAACCATAGATCAGTATGCTTTCGCCGGAGTGAATAGGACTCTTCAAGAGCTTTATATGACTAATACTAATATCGAGGAGTTTCCTAAAGAGGCCTTTATGGTAAGTTTTAAACTCAATTATTAAATCCTAGCGACCCACTCCTGGCTTCGCACGGGTACCATGCTGATACTAAATTACTCCACTATTTAATTGATGTTATTATACCTATTAACCTTCCTCTTCAATCCAATTCCATCGTTGGTCGCATCATTTCTTACCAATAGGCACGAAAGGGGCTAAACGCCGGGCCATTACAAAGCCACGGCAGGGGATTTTCATCAGCAGTATTGCTTAAAATAAGGTACCAGCAACTGGTCCTGGAGCAGGAGAAGGACCGGGGGTGTTTTTTAGTCAGTAAGAGTCTGACACTCCCTCTCTGGGCGAGAGAAGTATGACAGTATGAAGTTGACATATGATGATGTCAACATTCTACCTAAGCTTACGCGCCCGACGGGCCCCCTGCCGTGATCCGTGCGCACTCTGTTTTAGCTGCGAATGTGACCTTACAGTGCATTTCTAAGCTTCAAAATGTTACCGTAACGACCCTGAGCAATAGCGATAATGGGGTTTCATCAGTGACACTTCTTAATTGAGGTAGGTATTTACATTATGATGTTGCTTTTCCTTCATTCCAGATCCTAGGAAACCTCTCGGTACTCTCAATCGACGGGCACAAAATGACTAAGTTGGGTAAAGACATATTCGTCGGTAGCGAGGCTGCTGGAAAGTTGGAGAGATTGCATCTAACAAACGGATTAATAGCTGACATGCCGCCTGAGACATTTCAGGTACCTAAATATGTAACATTGTATTTTATCTCATCATCATCACTACCACCATCTGTAACTGCCCTCAGCTGAGCAAAATCCCCTTCTCATCCGGAGAAGATTTTAACATTAATCACCATGCTTGCTCAAGGCCGATAGGCGATTTCAAACTTATAATTAGAACTTATGATGCGTAAGAGAACTCAGTGACGATTTGAGAATATTTTGTGATTTATCCAAGGCATTCATTTCTGATTCATGATATACTAGTCAGAAAGCTATCCCATTACGGAATAAGGGGTGCCTCTCTGGACCTTCTTACCTCATACCTGATTAACACGGTTCAAAGAGTTGATGTAAACTGAATAATTTCTGCCGGGTCTGTTTTAAAGATGGGTGTTCCGCAGGGTTCTATTCTGGGCCCGTTTTTAATTCTTATCTATATAATTGACTTGCCTTGCCTTGTAAGGGATAAACATGAGATAGTGTTGTTTGCTGATGATAATATACTATTATTCGAAATCAGACAGCGACCATCAGTTATTGACAACGTAAACAGTGAAAAAAAATGTTTACTTTACATTCGTATAATACATATGTTTATATGTATATTTTAAATATTAAGTTTACTTATTAGTAAGTTTTATATAAACCTAAAAAATAAAAAAAATATTAAATAATAAAAATAAATATTATAAAAAAAGGACAGGTTTCATTGTTTGTTTGTTTGAATTTAAAAAAACTCTGATACTAGTGAGCCGATTTGAAAAATTATTTTACTGCTGGGAAGCTGAACTATCCCCAGTGAACATTGCTGAGCAAAGGCCTCTTCTCACACGGAGAAGATTTGAGCATTCATCATCACGCTTGCTTAAAGCGGGTTGGCGATTTCAAACTTATAATTTAGAAATTATAAGTCCAGGTTTCCTCGCGATGTTTACCTTAACCGTTTATCAGTGGTGTCTAAATAAGCATAGATATATAGGCTGTAACAGGCCCAGTGAACATATAGGCTATAAAATACACAAGTAAAACCGATTTAAAATGATATTTTGAATCGATGTACCATTATTTACTTATCGTCGTGCAATGTTTTAATATTATAAAATTTAATTACAGGTATTGAAAAAGTTAAAAAAGTTGGATCTTCACGGTAATAAGCTGGCAACATTGAAGAGGAATCAATTTAAAGGGTTGAGAGATACTGAGTTTTTGGATTTAAGGTAACATTAGGACTAATTACCTATTTAAAAAATCTGCCTAACCTTTTGGATGTAATGATCTTAGTAATAAATAACATATTTTATATTTATTTATTTGCATACCTACTTTATTTTTTACAAGATGTTAAAAAGGTACACATTATGGACCCCGCTGAGCCTCAACAAAAGAAGTCATAAATAAGTTAAATTATATCTTTGTTTACATGTCAAATTAAGAAATTCATTTTCTAGCTGTCTCAGATATTCTTTCATAAGAACCGTCTCCTTATAATAACAAAAATATATAACAAAAAAAGAATTTGCATAATATTGATCCAAACGTTTTTGAGTTATGCGCTCACCTAAACATTTTGCGATTATGTTTTAGGATTTTAGATAGTATAGATATTATGTGCATCTCTACCTCCCCTCCCCCTCTACCCTGGATCAATCAATCAAGATATTGATTATGTATTTTTATTAAAATTCCAGTCACAACAGTATCACAAAGCTAGATGGCAGTCATATAGGAGATCTGACCAAACTTGGATGGTGTAATGCAAGCCATAATCAAATTGGAGAGATACCTAGGTAAGATTTTTTCACAGGTTATGACTATTTTAAGTGTGGGAGAGTCTTGCTTCGGGGTAGGGTTGCCAGGTCGCTAGGCCTTATAGCCGGAAAGACCAGCCCGTTTTGCCGGACATTTAGCTAAAAAGGCCGGACACCCTACATTCTTAAGGATTTTGTATCTCAGTATTAATAGGTACGACAAGATTTAATGTAAATCAAGCATTTTTGATTACCTATTGTCATAAATGTTGTTGAACTCTTATGAAATAATTAATAAGTCTAAGTGTTTGCTTCGCTCCAGCCATGTTCGGTGTTTCGTTTCACTCGTTTGCGATTGTGAAAAGTTTAGGTAAAAAGCCTAACAAAAGCCGGACAGGCTGGACACCGTTTATTTTTGCCGGACTAGCAATCAAAAAGCCTACCTATGTCAGGCTTTATCCGGACCTGGCAACGCTACTTCGGGGCCATGTCGGCCGGAATGTTACCAAGGGCCCCACAGTATACCAATGTGTAACAATGCTCAATTTCACGAGTTGTTTTTGGCCATATGAGTGAGGATATCGAAGGCCCAATCTCCAAACCCATATCCCAAGAGGTTGGCAACGCACTCGTAACTCTTCCGTGGTTGCGGGTGTCCATGGGCGTTGCTGATTGCTTACCATCAGGCAATCTGCCTGTTCTTTTGCCGTTTTATGACATAAAAAGGCACAATCCATCACCCCCTTTCTCGAATCCCCACCAACTCTTAAAAGGCCAAGTAACGCTCTTGTTTCTCCTTTGTTGTTGCGTGCGACCCTGGACGGCGACGACTACTTACCATCAGGTATTCTATAAAAAAAAATCGAGATTCCTTTTGCTAAAACTTATTTATTTATTTTTATTTTATTTTAACACTTTATGTACATACAAAAAATATATACAAAGTCGGACAAACTTATGTGTGATTTATATATGTATTTTTCCCATATCCATTTCCTTATTACCCACAATAGGCTAGCAACGCACTTGTAGTAACTCCTTTAATATTATTAGTATCCATGAGCTACGGGGATTGCTTACCATCAGGTAACCCGTATGCTCGTTTGCTGACTGTACTAAAAGTTGCAATGTTATTATTTCATTTCAGAGGAATGTTTGCAAGGAACACAGTTATAAAAGTGGTACATTTGGACAACAATAAAATCAAGAAACTGGACACCAATAGCTTTAGGGGCATGAGGTTTCTAAGGTAAGGTTATTTTGGCATTTATTTTTTATGAAAGCCACGTGACATCACATTGCTTCTTTTTAAACGACTGCCCAAAAACGGAGTGTTATTAAATCATTTAATAACTTCTTCTGCTCTGGGTGAGGCGAGAGGGAGTGTCAGACTCTTGCTGGCTAAAACCGCTCTGTTCCTTCAACTGGGTCACAGTGTGTTATTGCACTTCCAACTCTTCATAACGAGAGACGATCTCCGGCCACCTAGAGCGCGGGTCTGCGGACGGCGAGTAAGGGTAGCTCGCCGCCCGACCAGAACCAGGCCCGAGCGTACGGCGCGTAGCGTTCCGCGCGCGCCTCAAAGAGCCAATAGACCACCACAGACGGGGCCCTATAGGGCTGATGTTCAGCTGGGGTTGCGGGTCAGGCGCAATGAGGCACCTCGGTCTCGTCTGGGGGGTTTTTAGTCAGTAAGAGTCTGACACTCCCTTCCGCCGTACCCTGGGCGGGAGAAGCAATTTGATGATTTTCCCCACATAAAAAAAAAACTCTACATAAGGAAAATAGAGTTGGACACAACAGTTTAAAAGGACCAGGTTTATCAGAGAACATAGCTGCCCGGTCTCTGTCTAATGTGTAGGTCCTTAGTCAGCTTTTGCACAAATATTTAATATTCCTTTATAACACACTTCCTCATATAGTGGCTCTAATTCCTCGGCAATTTATTAGGCACTAAAGGACATCTGTAATCAAATTGTGACTTTTTCATTACTATTATAAAAAAAAATTATGTAATTTTTGAAAAAAACATGCAGTTGGAAGAAGGTATTAAGTATAAACTAAATACACACTACATCTTACATTTACTTGACTTGGGCCCGTCATTATAGTTTAATGAATACAAAAAAATAGTAATCGATACCTGAGGAATCGTACACCACATGCTAATTTAATTCTTTCAGGCGTCTCTACCTACAAGATAACCAGATTTCAGACGTAGGCCGCGGCACGTTTTCAGCGGTGACAAGAATCGGTACAATAGATCTAGCGAGGAATAAAATTAAAAAAATAGACTTTCAAATGTTTCAACAAGTTAAATATGCTGAGGTGAGTTTTGTTTTTTCTAAATCATAAGTCCGTAGTCACAAGTCACTAGTCACAAGTCACAAGTCACAAGTCACAAGTCACAAGTCACAAGTCACAAGTCACTAGTCACTAGTCTTTTGTCATTTGTCAATAGTCACAAGTTACTAGTCACTAATCACAAGTCATTAGACATTAGTCACTGGTCACTGATTCTAGGCACTAGGCTCCAGTTACAGTTCAGTAGTAAAAAGAAAAATAAAACCAATAATTTAAAAATATCCTTATTTCCGAATTTCTAACTGTCTTAATTAATAGTTATGACTACAAATACCAAGGAAGAGGTCATTAGTCACTAGTCACTTGGCTTCAGTTACTAGTCAGAAGTCAAAAGAAAAAAATCTAAAGTTTAAAAAAAATTTCTGACTTCTACCTATCTAAATGACTATGACTGCGAATACCAAGGAAGAAGTCATTAGTCACTAGTCACTAGGCTCCAGTTACTAGTCAGTAGTCAAAAGAAAAAGAAATCTAAAGTTTAAAATTTTTTTTATGGTATAAGCACGGAGTAAGAACAAAGAGGAGATGTTATAACTAGACTTCCCTAAGAAACACCGCGTGATATTTTGCGGGGTGAGGGGGTATTAGACTCCGCCCACTTTTGTATTTGCCATCTGCCGATCTATAGCAAAACTACTTGCTCGTTCAAATTAATTCGTTTTGTAGTTATGTAACTATTTCGCAATAGATGTCACTAAATGCATAATGCATCAGGGTCGTACTCAGAATTACCGGGGGGTTGTAGTTTTTAATACTATATAATATTATTGGTGAATGAGGATCATTATACATTCATCAAAGCCATTTTATTGTAACATCTTTTTCTTTTATAAGGGGAGAAACTCGTATACTATGTCTACCAACAGGCTGATGCCTTACTGATAGCTGGCTATTTGCACGGATTTCGTACATTATATTATTATTTTTCATATTGTCTGGACTTGAAAATAGACGGACTTCTGAGTTTGTTTCGGTATTTTCTTAGAGTAGTCAGATAGGAAATGCCGGCTTTATCTTGTTTTTTACATATAATACGGTAAATGGACTATTTGCAAAAAATAAATTCATTGTTCCATTGTGATGACGAGTGTGTCGACTATATTCATGTGTAATTTGGAAATATGCGTTTAGACTGGTGCCATCTTCAAACATACCGATTCAGGGATGCGTCAATGAAATAAAATACTTCAAGTTTATCTTCTTAGGTCTTTAATGGACAAGGCCACTTACTACTTTATAACTATTAACGGTACGTGCTTCGCTACGTATTAAAATATTAAGTTCATTTATTAAAACAAAAAAAATAATAATTTTAAAATGATCCAAATGGTAGGTAGTACATTGTTTATGTTAGTTGAATACGCGTAATTATTAATGTTCAGTGTCAATTTTCGTACACATCTCCAAAGAACTAATGACTTCAAACAGGTTTCCATCAGCAGGAGTTGTTCGAGGAATGACAAGCAATGTTTGGGCACCACCAAAAAGCAGTCGAGTACCGCGTAAATTTTACATTATCTGATTAATTGCCTCTATTGATTTTTTTTTCAAATTCAAATTCAAATTACTTTATTTGTAATTTATTTATTTATATATATATTTGTCGCGATTGTGCACTCAAACCATAAAATAATTGACGTTAGTCGCAGAACTTTTGGAGTTTCAATACAATCTGCATTAACATTGCCATTAAATGTACAGGTACATTTAATGGCAATGTTAATGCAGATTGTACGGTTCTACCACCTTCTAATAATGTAGCAGCAATTGTCTTAATATTGCCACTTGATTTGCATCATGCGTTCGCCGGCCTATGTTTGGTCCCCTTGCTCGGAATTAAACCTTCACTCAACAACACAACAATATTTTGGAAAATATAAAAACAAAACAATAACTCAACAATATTTTGGAACAATAATGTCTTTATGTTTGTTTTACTACTTGACAATAGATGGCTGGCTATTTGTAAAATGATATAAACGTTACAAAAATAATATTTTGGAGATTGAAGGATCTTTAGAAATGTATGTCGAGCAAATTACTGTACAAACAATCATTAAAATATATTAATACTGAACTATGCGTACCTATAAAAATTTAGTTCCTATGATACAAAGTGTCGCCATCTAGTGTCGCGTAGATTGATAATTGGAAACGCTGACAATAAGAGACTTTGTTAGAACTATTTTAATAAATTTCGAATAAAATAAGTTCCACATGAGAAGTGATGCCATCAATAGTACCGTAACGTTTATCATAGTAGTTTTTATAAGATAAAATACAATACTTCATTTTGTTTTCTTCTGTCACGAGTAAAATGAATACTTTATCGGAGTTGTGCACAGTACTAACGACCACATTACACTGACGTAAGCCACGCCCACCTTGATGACGTGAGGGCCGACTTGTGTCACAGGGCCGAGTTGTTTAGGCCGTCTCCTCTTTGTTCTTACTCCGTGGGTATAAGTCGGCTAACGTCCAGACGGATTACCTGATGGTAAGCAATCGGCGCCGCCCATGAACACCCGCAACACCAAAGGAGTTACGAGTGTGTTGCCGGCCTTTTGGGGATAGGGGTTGCGGATATAAGGATTGGGAAGGTGAGGGATTAGGCCTCCGGTAACCTCACTCACACGGCGAAACACAACGCTGTGGCTTGTTTCACGCCGGTATATCTTCTGACTTCTACCTATCTAAATGACTATGACTGCTTATACCAAGGAAGAAGTCATTAGTCATTAGTCACTAGTCAATGTTTACTAGATGGTGGTGTATAGTACACACCACTTATGGTAGCCAGAAGCAAAAAAATAAATATCCAAAGTTGTAAAACGTTTTCCTTATTACCTGACTTCCTAAATGGTTATGACTGATGCTTGCTAAAGGAGAGGTCTCGGATTTGATAAAAGGAATTGACTGTAGAATTCTTGAAATTGGATAGTTTCCTAGTTTAAAAGTAAATTATTTTGACTTTCCTATACGATTGACTATGACTTTGTTTAAGTGTGGGAGAGCCATGCTTCGGCACGAATGGGTCGGCTCGACCGGAGTGATACCACGGCCTCACAGAAAACCGGTGTGAAACAACCACAGCGTTGTGTTTCGCCGTGTGAGTGAGGTTACCGGAGACCCAATCCTTCCCCTCCCCCAATCCCTTCTCAATCCCTAAATCTCCAAATCCCTAATCCCTAAAAGGTCGGCAACGCACTCGTAACGCCTCCGTTGCGGGTGTCCATGGGCGGCGCTGATTGCTTACCATCAGGTAACGCGTCTGTTCGTTTGCCGACCTATTACTTAAAAAAAAAATGAAATATCATACTTTAATTCATTGATTTAACGATTGTACTGAATTTTTAGACACTTTCCAGCTAATAAAAGTATGCGTAGGTACGTAAAAGTGTGTTATTTGAGACGTATAAACATTATGACATCTATGTTGTAAGTTCATACATAATGAACAGGAAGGTTTATTTTTTGACATTTGAATAAAAGTATTGAATTTGACTTGTCGGAAACTATCGTATTGGAGGATATAGTACTATACTCGGAATTTTAATTCCGTTCCAGATTTGACAATTTCAGTGTTGCAACGTTATGACATGTACTAAATAGTGACGTTGCTAAATTATTCGATATGGAAATCGAATATTAAATATTTCTAAATCGATTCCTCTCGTTTATAAATTTACTCTCGTAAACTAAGTTTATCAGGAAATAAAATATTTCGGAACTGATAATTTAGTTTTGACAATAAATTAACGATCTGAGACTTTTCTTTTGTAATTGTGTGTGAAATTAATAAAAAATGTGATCATGAAGGAACATGACAAATAAAACAGACATTTTATAAATTGTCGCCGTCATCGCTATCGCTATCGCTGTTACTTTCTGTAACATTTATTATGAATTGTGTCTGTGATTTTTATTGTCAATTAACATATCTAGCTTACTTATGTTTTCCAATTCTTGGACAACATGGGATACGCATTTAGACCATTGGGTAGCCGTAATTTTTTGAATGCCTTCTTGAAACTGATTCACTGATTGTTTATCGATTTTTGTGTTCATCACTACACTGTTATATGTAGTATCATTACAGTAGGTCATGTCAAATCAGGAATCGAATTAAAATTCTGACAATAGTTCTTCAGTGTCTATAAAAAAAAAAATGTTATATAATAAAATTTATGATTCTCATTATATTTTCAGGTTATAAACATGGCGGAAAATAATATAACAATTATAGAAAACCAAGCGTTCACAGATTTATACCAGGCCATAGTTAACGTTTCGCATAATTCAATATCGACAATAGAAACGGGGGCTTTTCAAAATTGTAATAATATGACTTTGTTAGACTTTAGCCATAATAACTTGTCCAAAATAAGCCCCAGGGCATTCGACGAAAACAGTTATGCGTATAATCTGCAAGTTTCGCATAATGAATTTATGGATTTCTCTCAGGTGAGTTTTGTTTTTTATACGTTCATTTTCAAGTTCGACCAGAGCCTTTAGGTGGTCCTGCTCGAAAGTAATCGAGCGTACTCGTAAATTGTTTTTTCTTTCATGTCTGTTTGTATTGTGATTTTATGCCGTGTTGGTCAAGTTTAACTGCCAAGAAACGGGTTTCCAGTTTAATTTTAGTCGTATTTTTACACTTTTTGTTATTTGATAGGAAGGCCAACTAACATGCGGATTACCTGATGGTAAGCAATCAACGCCGCCCATGGATACCGGGCAAAAACGGAAGAGTTACGAGTGCGTTGCCGACCTTCTGCGGATTAGGATTTTGAGGATTTAGGGATTGGGGGAGGGGATGGATTGGGTCTCCGGATGCTTTCTCTTCTTTTCAAAAAACTCAGACAGGTTTTTTTAACTTGTCCTAAATTGTTTCAGATTTGATTCCTAATGTATTTATACTGTATACATATATTAATTTTATAAAGAGGAAAGATTTGATTGTTTGTTTGTTTATGATATGATTTGAGAATTTCTTTCACTATGAGGTTACAGGGCAACAGCTAGTTATTATACTTTTTTTTTTCAGATACCAATACAGAACATGTCAGGCATACAAGTTTTGAACGCTTCCTACAACAGAATCGAATCCATACCAAAGATGGCGTTCCCAAAATTATACGAACTGCACACGGTCGACTTGTCACATAACAATTTGAGTGAAATATTTAATGCAGTTTTTCAAAATCTGTTTTCAATTAGGTAAGTTTTTTTCTTTTGTTTTTTCCGTCGCGTTGGCTATTGTTCTTGCTGGGGGCTATTTTGCGATCAGCTCTAGTTTTGAGTATAAATTGGTTGGGGATATCCGATTTTCGACTGCACGGTTGGTGCGGTGGCTGGGCAACTGGCTGCCGTGCAACGTGTCGTGGGTTCGATTCCCGCACGGAACAACTCTTTGTGTGATCCACAAATTGTTGTTCCGGGTCTAGGTGTCATGTGTATGAGAAATTGTAGTTTTGTAACCGCACCCACGATACAGGAGGCAACGTTTTTTTTTAAAAAGAAAGTTTTGCAGAAAAATGCTTTTAACATTCAGTCCACTTTCTCATCCAATTTCTCATCATTTAATTTTAATAATTCTTATTACACAACATCAGCCTATGAGTGCCCAACTGTTAAACAAAGACCTCTTCTCACACGCGAAAGGTTATCACTACGCTTGCTAAACGCGGATTGGCAATTTCAAACTTATTATTAGAAATTACAAGTCCAGGTTTCCTCACGATATTTTCCTACACCGTGTGTCAGTGGTGTCTAAATAATCATAGAAAGTACATATAACTCGGATAAAGTCACATTGGTACTTGCCAGGTCTCGAAACTCCGCTTTTTTTAAACGTTGCCCCACACTAGGATTTTCTCCTGTGTCTTAGGTGCATTTACTAATAATTTCACATACACAACACACCCAGACCCGGAACAACAATTTTTGGATGACACTGTAGCGGCATCTATCGCACAACAAGAACAACAGCACCAATCACGTACAAGAGTCTACATCGCGCTATAAGTGTTCTCATCGCAATTAGAACATATACAAAGATCCCGACAACAACAGTCGGGCAGTAGCCCACCAGGCACGAACACCTCGCCTGGTCGGAGGATCCTCCCTTTTCAATGGAGGATGTGAGACTTTCCACCCTGTTCCTCATACCTCTAAAACACAAAGTGTTGTTCCGTACGGAAATCGAACCTGCGACACGTTGCACAGCAGCCAGTTGCCAAGCCACCGCGCCAACTGTGCAGTCAAAGTTTGGGTAATAATACTAATATTATTTTTTACAGATTTTTGAACCTTAGCTACAATTCAATGGAAATTATCAAGCCAGCTACCTTCGGTACTATACCGACCTTGTTAGAACTGGATTTATCTCACAATAAGTTACACGATGTCTCTCGTGGAAGTATGGCAAAACTAGTCAGCTGTCGTCTAATCGATTTAACTCATAATCGATTGGAAAAACTCTTTCAAATACCTATAAGTTTGGGGTAAGTTCTTTTTTTAATTCTTGTAGCCTCTCTCATCATCTTCATATATGATTTATTTTATTATTTATTTATTTTTACAGAATAGTGCTCAACCTTAGTTATATATGTAAGTCCGCAAAACTGTTGTTCTAAACAGTTTGTCCGTGGACTCAGTAACATATGATACTTATAACATTATTACATTGATACACTGTTAACATTTTTTTTTAAATAAGCTATCGGATTACTTGATGGTAAGCAAACAGCGTCCGCCCATAGCCAAGCTATTCATAGAAGCTCTATGAATGGGTCGGCTGGACCGGAGTGTTACCACGGCCTCACAGAAAATCGGCGTGAAAAAACCACAGCGTTGTGTTTCCCCGTATGAGTGAGGTTACCGGAGACCCAATCTCATCCTCCCCTAATCCCGAAATCTCCTTTTTTTTTAAATCATTTATTTCAATTAGACTCATACAGGCACTTTTGAACGTCAACACAACTTTAAAGATACAAAGTGTCAGTCTGTCGGTCAGTCCTCTTAGTGAAGCTATTTGCTCGTTCCAAAGTGTAGATTCCGATGGAGAAGAACGAGCAAGAAACTCCATGGTTACTCTTTTAAAACCAGTGTCACATAAACATTCTTTGATACATTATTTAGTTAGTTTGAATATGTGAGAACAGTGTAACGCGTGTATACAGAGAAACATAAAAAGAAAATAACCTTAAGGACTTTACGAACAGACTGACAGACCACTATTCTATTTTGACGTTTTAAAAAATACCTATTTATGTTTTTGTTGGAATTAATAATTATGACTTTGACTTTGACATCGCACTCGTAAATCCTGTGCGTGTTGTGGGTGTCCATGGGCGGCACCAATTGCTTACCATCAGGTAATCCATCAGCTCGTTTGCCGCCCTATCACAAAAAAGGTACAACTCTCATCCCCCTATCCCAAATCCACAACAACCCTCAAATTGCCAGTAAGGTGGCCTTGTCTGCCTTTGATGTTGTGGGTTGTCCATGGATAATTGATACCATAAGGTATTATAGAGATTCCTTTTGCTAAAATTAATTTTACACATAAAACAAACCCCATTTTTCCTTTTACAGCGAACTCAACGTAGCCTACAACAATCTAACGGAAATAAAATCGAATACATGGCCATCGATGAACGCGTTGCTCCGACTCAATTTGTCGTCCAACATGTTGGGCGACTCGTTGTCCTCAGACGCGTTTTCCAGCTTGTTGACCTTACAATCGCTGGATTTATCGGGCAATGGATTGACTAAACCTCCTTGGGAGGCTTTGAGCACGCTGACCAGTTTGCAGTATTTGTATATGCAGGTATGTATTTGTTTTTGTGTTATGTAAATTGCTCGGGACTATGCTGGTTATGGGATTTTTGTATTGGGATTGGAATGGGACTAGTATAGGGACTGGAATGTGAACAAATATGGAGGCTGGAATGGAAACTAATATGGAGGCTGGAATGGGCACTAATATAGAGGCTGGAATATGAGCTAGTATAGGAACTAAAATGGGAATTAAATAAAATTTGAACTAATATAGGGACTGGAATACGAACTTATATAAGGACTGGAATGGCACTAGTATAGGGACTGGAATGGGAACTAGTGTAGGGACTGGAATGGGACTAGGGCACTGGAATGGGAACTAGTGTAGGGACTGGAATGGGACTAGGGCACTGGAATGGCACTAGTATAGGGACTGGAATGGGAACTAGTATAGGAACTGGAGTGGGAACTCGTATAAGGATTAGAATGGGTACCGGTATAGGACCTGGAATGGGAATAGTATAGGGACTTGAATGGGAACTAGTATAGGAACGGGAATGGGAACTAGTGTAGAGACTGGAATGGGTACTAGTATAGAAACTGGAATGGGAACTAGTATAGGAACGGGAATGGGAACTCGTATAAGGATTAGAATGGGTACCGGTATAGGACCTGGAATGGGAATAGTATAGGGACTTGAATGGGAACTAGTATAGGAACGGGAATGGGAACTAGTGTAGAGACTGGAATGGGTACTAGTATAGAAACTGGAATGGGAACTAGTATAGGAACGGGAATGGGAACTAGTGTTGAGACTGGAATGGGTACTAGTATAGGAACTGGAATGGGAACTAGTATAGGTATTGGAATGGCTACCAGTATAGGAACTGGAATGGTAATAGTATAGGAACTGGAATGGGAATAGTGTAGGAACTGGAATGGGAACTAGTATAGGGACTAGAACACGGACAATTCTTGAATTTTACTCCATATTCACATTCACTTATTCGACATTATATTCCATATTGCAGGAAAACAATCTAACAGAACTAAGTAGATCAGCGTTTGGTAACCTACCGACGATGTTCAAGCTGGATTTGTCGCGCAACCAGTTGACAACAGTTGCGCAACGATCGTTCAACGGCATGCAACAGTTGCTCGACTTATCGCTCAGCGGAAACATGTTGAAACAAATACCTAATGAAGCTTTTAAAGGATTAGTTGCTTTGAGGTATGTATGAGTATTTTAGTCATCCAAACTAATATTATAAATGCGAAAGCAACTCTGTCTGTCTGTCTTTTCTTCACGCCTAAAATACTGAATTGATTTCTGTGAAATTTGGTACAGACATAGTTTAGAACTCGAGAAAGGACATAGGATAGTTTTTATACAAAAAATCTGCAGGTAGTCACTATTCCACGCGAATGAAGTCGCGGGCAAAAGCTAGTTTTTTATAAATTTGGATATTAATTAAGCTTGTAACAAATTAGGCGAACTACCTTTTTTGAATGAAAAATTGTCACAATTTAGATTGTATATTTTTTTTATACAATTTTTTAATCTTATATTTGTACTTACAAGTCAAATAAAACATGGACAATCCTTCTGGTTATATAAGATGTTGTGCAGTACGGCCGCCGTATCTTGGCGAGTCTGAAGTTAGCCGTTTGTCTGCGCAATGGATCTTTTAGGAACAAAATTGTTTACTGCGCAGCTAATCGGCTAACTTCAGACTCGCCAAGACACGTCGGCCGCACTGTATAAAACTATTACTCAAATACACATCTCGGGATTTCTATTCATGTCTCACGTCGTGAGTAAGTTGTTATTTACTTTAGTCAAATGACTCCTCTCGGGCTGGGTGACGCTGAGAGTGAGTGTCAGACTCTTTCTGACTAAAAATCACCCCATTCCTTCTCCTACTCTGACTAGGGGCCGCAGTACATTAATTGGGTAGTTTCCTAGATCAAAAATAAATTAATTCTACGTTTCAATACAATAAAGTATTGCAAAATAACTATACTTTTATTCATCGATCGATCGATACACTAAGTTTTAGATATTTTTTTAGGTAATAGTAAATTAAGAAATAAGTAAGCTATTTGACGCAAAAATACTATGACATCATAGGTCAGTGTTTTATACAAATTTCATAGAAAAGTATCGCTTTTGACATTTAGATAAAAGTATTGAATTTGACTAGTTGGAAACTACCGTATTATAAGGTTTGCACACACAACCCCGACTGGAATTTATGAGGGATGAAGTATTATTTTAATAATTGATAACATTTATAATTAATTGTATTACAGGAAATTGGATTTGTCACATAATTATTTGGAGAAAATTGACAACAAAACACACGGACTTTTGGACGATTGTCTGTCTCTAGAAAAGGTGAGTTGTATTCTTGGAATTTTAAGAGTAAATATGTGTATAATTTTTTTAAATGAATTCGTCCCAGTCTAGGATTTTCTCCTGTGTCATGGGTGCGGTTACAAACATACAATTTCACATACACATGACACCCAGACCTCGAACAACAATTTGTGGATCACACAAAGAGTAGTTCGTTGCGTTCAGCGAGTTGCTGAGCCACCGTACCAACCGCACAGTCGTAATGATGTAACAAAAATGAATTGTGAAATTGATTGAAAAAGAGTAACCATGGAGTTTCTTGCTTGTTCTTCTCCATAGGAATCTGCACTTTGGAACGAGCACCTAGCTTCACTGACGAACAGACTGACAGACTACTATTCTATTTTGACGTTTCAAAAGTACCTATTTATGGTTTAGTTGGAATAAATGGTTTTAATTTTGACTTTGATACATGTTATATTATATATATATCTAAATATTTTTTTTCCAGGAAACCATTTGAAATGTGATTGCTTCACGCGTCCATTGAAACATTATTTGAACCACATTCTTCTTCAGCTTCACTAAGACTAGACTAACAGACAGATTGACACTTTTTATCTTTAATTTTTTTTGTCGACTGCCCGTATTTGTAGTCTAGTCTAGTTAGTTTTAAGGAAGTGATGTATGTTACTCCAAGCCTTGAGTATAAATGTGGATGGATGAAGAGAGAGAGGGAGACCAAAGAAAATATGGATGGATTGTGTGAGAAGTGATATGGAAGACAGAGGAGTCAGTGATAGCGTGACGAGTGACAGGACAGAATGGAAGAAAAAAACATATTGCGCCGACCCTAAATAAAACGGGACAAGGGCAGGAAAATGATGATGTATGTTACTCCAAGGACGTGAATCTGCAAACGAGCAGACGGATCAGCTGATGGTAAGCTATCGGCGCCGCCCATGGACACCCTTAACACAAGGAAGTTCAAAAGGCCTTTTGAGATTTGTGGGTTGTAGATTGGGCCTCTGGTGACCTCACTCACACGGCGAAACACAACGCTGTGGTTATTTCACGCCGGTTTTCTGTGAGGCCGTGGTAACACTCCAATCGAGCCGACTCATTCGTGCCACATTCTATCTCTCCCAAATTTGACACATTTTTATTTCTTTTCCAGGTTATCCTAAGCCACAATAAATTCGGATTTTTAACTAAAAAGATGTTTCCTGCAAGTCCTTGGATTCCCTACAGACTGTCGGAAATTGATCTGAGTTACAATGAGATACCGGTTCTAACACATGATATCACAATTGGAACTAAAAAAGTAACAAAATTAAACCTAGCCGGAAACTTCATTAATGATATTCGAAATAGTAAGTTTTTGTTTGATTAGTTGAACTTTTAAATAAGTACAAAATTCAAATATTTGATGAAAAATTTTAATTAAGATACGAAGCATATTATTAAAAATTAAAATAAATAAGGGTAATTACAGAATGACAGAATTACAGAACTGTACAATTCCAGAATGTTACAATTTCAGTAAATCAAAATTAGTTTTACAGACAGGAAAAAAATTGTAATGATTGAATTACAGATTATCAAAATTACAGAATGTTACAAAAGTAACTGCAATTCTGTGTGTGTGAATGTAGAATTAAAAAATGGAACTCAAAAGTCAAATTCGATATTTTTATTTTAAGAAATTACTTTTTAAATGGCGTTGCGTTGGAAGGATTATTTTAAATATTTTTTATATTAATTATTTTTTTTTATTTTTCAGATGTCTTAGGAAACTTGACATCATTACAAGTGCTAGATTTGTCGCACAATAACCTAAAGGATTTAATTTCAAGGACATGTGAGTATTCATTGTTATATAAAGGCTAAAAAGGTCAAACTGCACGGCTGTCGTGGTTCAATTCCAGCACGGAACAAAACTTCGAGAGATGATCTCCGGCCACATTAAGCGCGGGTCTGCGGACGGCGAGTAAGGGTAGCTCGCCGTCCGACCAGAACCAGACCCGAGCGAACGGCGCGTAGCGTTCCGCGCGCGCCGCAAAGAGCCAATAGACCACCACAGACGGGGCCCTAAAGGGCTGATGTTCAGCCGGGGTTGCGGGGTAAGCGCAATGAGGCACCGCGACCTCGGCCCAGAGCAGGATTTTAGTCAGTAAGAGTCTGACACTCCCTCCCGCCCGGCCCTGGGCGAGAGAAGTCATTTGATGATTTCCCCTCACAAAAAAAGGGAACAAATCTTTGTGTGATCTACAAATTGTTGTTCCGGGTCTGGGTGTGATGTGTATGTGAAATTGTATGTTTGTAAACGCACCCACGACACAGGAGAAAATCCTAATCCGTTTACTAAGATTCCGTTGTCCATTCCTCTACTATGCATAGCTTTGTCTGTCTGTGTATCACTAGGCTATGTCCGTGATAGACAGATGATGTATTTGGCAATCCTTATGGCGAATTAAAATCGAATAATCACTAATAACAAAAGGACGGACTAAGTATTATTTAGTTGTTTTTCAATTGAAAAATTTGCGTCTGGGCAAGTAATATCAATACTTTTTTGAATTTTCAAAGTCAACAGATTTTGTTTTTGTGATAGAATGGCAAACGAGTCTACGGATTACCTGATGGTAAGCAATGAGCGCCGCCCATGAACGCGTTGCTGGCCTTTTGGGGATTAGAGTTTCGAAAATAAAGAGATTTGGGGATGAGGAAGGATTAGGTCTCAAGTAACTTTACTCACAACGCTATGGTTGTTTCACGCCGGTTTTCTGTGAGGCCGTGGTATAACTCCTTACCGCCTTACCTTAGCTTTCCCATATTTTAACTATGAACTTGTTTCTCTTACAGCGGAAATAAAGTTCGCATTCCCGGAAAATATAACAGAATTACATTTGTTTAACAACTCGCTACAATCCCTGCCTACCCCGAATATAGTAGCGGCGAAAAATTTAAAGTTATTGGATGTAAGAAATAATGAATTAATCAGCTTCGAACCGGAGTGGGTTAAAAAGATAATAAAAGAGGGTACTGTTATTTTGTTTCAAGGTACGAATATACTTCTATACTATACTAGCTCTTACCCGCGGCGTCGCTCCCGTCATTTGACTACCTACCCTACTCTACCTACTCTACTCTACCTACCCTACTCTACCTACCCTACTCTACCTACCCTACTTTACCTACCCTACAGTTCCTACCCTACTCTTCCTACCCTACTCTACCTACCGTACTCTTCCTACCCTACTCTACCTACCCTACTCTACCTAACCTACTCTACCTACCCTACTCTGCCTACCCCACTCTACCTAACCTACTCTATCCTATCCTATGTCCTTCTCCTGGCTCTAAATTACCTCCCTGCCAATTTTTAGCTAAATCGGTTTAGCCGTTCTTGAGTTATAAGTGGTGTAACTAACACGACTTTCTTTTATATATATAGATTATAGATTATAAAGAGGTAAAATTTGTAAGTTTGTATGTAGGGGGTAATCTTTGGAACCGCTGGTCGGATTGCCAAAATTCTTTCACTGATAGATAGCTACAATGTTCCTGAGTGCTATAGGCTATAAAACATCACGCTATGATCAAATGGAGCTGAGCAGCGGGTGAAACCGCGCTACAGTAGCTATGTCATATAATGTTCTTCAAGATATGCGTCATTGATATTTGTGTATCTACAAGTCTTAATTAATAAATTTTAAAAAGAGTAACCATGGAGTTTCTTGCTCGTTCTTCTCCATTCGAATCTACAACTTGGAACGAGCACCTAGCTTCACTGACGAACAGACTGACTGACTACTATTCTATTTTTACGTTTCAAAAGTAACTATTTATGGTTTAGTTGGAATAAATGATTTTGACTTTGACTTTGATACATGTTATATTATATACATATCTATATAACTTTTTTTCCAGGAAACCATTTGAAATGTGATTGCTTCACGCGTCCATTGAAACATTATTTGAACCACAAGAAGCCGTCGTCATTAAAAACAGATGAAAAATATCAAAATCTCACCTGTTCTGAACCTATAACGCTGCAAAACGAGAATATATTATCTGTGGACGAGGACAGATTATTGTGCACTGGCAACACTGAAGTTGACACTAAGATTATTGAGCATAGCAACACTGACCCGGAGAATGCGTTTGATTTTATCAACGAACCCGATTTGGCGTTTAGAGATATACAATAGTAAGTGTTTTTTTTGTTTTAAATGTAAGACGGCCATCTTGATTACGGATCGCCTGATTGTATGCAATCTGTGATGATAAACGCCTATAAAAAAATTAAGTGTGGGAGAGCCAAGCTTCGGCACGAATGGGTCGACTCGACCGGAGTGATACCACGGCCTCACAGAAAACCGGCGTGAAACAACCACAGCGTTGTGTTTCGCCGTGTGAATGAGATTACCGGAGGCCCGATCCTTCTCCTATCCCTTTCCGATCCTTATATCCACAACCCCTATCCCCAAAAGGCCGGCAACGCTCTCGTAACTCCTTTGGTGTTGCGGGCATAGGCGGCGCCGGCACCATCAGGTAATAAGTCTGCTCGTTTGCCGACATATACTATATATATATATAAAAAAAATACAAGTGTATTGCTAGCTGGCCTCTTTATGGGTTGATTGGGGATTGGGGATTTGGGATTTGGATTTGGAGATTGGTTATTGTGGGATTAGGGATTGGGGATCGGAGATTTGGAAATGGGTGGCGTCACTCCCTCTCGCTCCACACAGGGCAGTCATTTCATGAGTATAACACGACAAAAAAAATTAATTGAAATATTGATTAAGCGAAAGACAAAATTAATATTTATACATAAAGTAATATTTTTTGACAAATAATTCAAGTTGTGACAACAGAAAGCTAATTTCGTCACTCTTATCTAGTCTTCGGTAGTATAGTGGTCAGTATCCCCGCCTGTCACGCGGGAGACCGGGGTTCGATTCCCCGCCGGAGAGATTCTTTTTGTTAATTTTAACATTGTCCATTCCCCTTGTATTTTCATTTTTTATTATAATTTGACATTAATTATGTTTATTTATGATGTTTTCTATATTTAAAGATTTTTTTGATAATTTTAGAATAGTGTTAAAAAGGGTTTTTGAAAATCTTATACATAGGTCCGAAGTTTAGGGTGTCAGTTTCTTATGCCATAAGTGCTGGCAAGTACCAATGTGACTTTTTCCGAGTTATATGTACTTTCTATGATTATTTAGACACCACTGACATACGGTGAAGGTAAACATCGTGAGGAAACCTGGACTTATAATTTCTAATTATAAGTTTAAAATCACCAATCTGGCTTGAGAAAGCTTGGTGACTAATGCTTAAACCTTCTCCGTATGAGAAGAGGCCTTTGCTCAGCTGTGGGCACTTATAGGCTGATGATGATTGGGCCAATAAATTAAGCCCAAACACGTGTTCATTGCTGTTAACCTTCGAGGAGTTCTTTCGATTGTTTTTCGGCTCCATCATCAGGTCAACTCCAGACCTTAATTAAATTATTATGCTTTAAAATTCAAATACAATTTATAGCCTATAGCACTCAGGAACATTGTAGATATCTATCAGTGAAAGATTTTTGCAAATCCGACCAGCGGTTCTAAAGATTCTTCAGGAATTTCATTTCGTTATAAGAAAAAAAAATATATTGAATATTAAAATAAAAAACTCAAAAACAATCTCTCCGGCGGGGAATCGAACCCCGGTCTCCCGCGTGACAGGCGGGGATACTGACCACTATACTACCGAAGACTTGATATTATTTGTGAAATTAGTCATTAGTTGATTTTTTAAACCAGATAGGCAGCTACACTATGTATTGTAAAATACTTTTAAAGTCGATAAATACAATTGAATGATTGTTGCCTAGTTACTTAAGTCTTGTTATACCAGTTGTGTAAATATTAAAGTTAATTGTTATGAAACTATATATCACTAAGGACATATTTTTCCATGATTCTTTGACGTTCCTTTCAAAGATTTTTTTCTTTATGTTATATGGCAAATTAGCGGACGGATTACCTGATGGTAAGCAATCAACGTCGCCACACACCAGAGGAGTTACGAGTGAATTGCCAGCCTTTTAAGTATTTTAGTTTCGGATGGAAGGGCTACCTGACCTCACACGGCTAAATACAGTACTGCTGCTGTTAAACGCCGGTTTTAATCATAGGTCTTTACCTATGAAATTGCCGTTTTGCATGAAAAAATTTAAACGGTTTTTTTGATTTGAAATGCGATGAAAATGTAACACTAATCAATAAACAAATGACTTCTTTTGGAAAAAGAATCCCATGTTTTTAAAACAAAATAAATTAGCCTTAGCCTAACAAAAACTATTTTGATTTGAAATGGCCAATACTGCAGAACGGCAATTTCATAGGTAAAGACCTATTATTAGTGTAACGGTATAAGAAAAGAAAAAAGAAAGTTTGTATTTAGTACGTACCCAAATATATAAGCAATGAGTATATTAGAGGAACTTTGAAAGTGGCGCCAGTGACTGAAAAGTTGAAAGGGAACCGTTTGTCTTGGTATGGCCATGTGAAAAGGTGGGATGAAACGCATGTTACAAAAAAGCTATGAGTATAAATGTGGATGGATGGAGAGGGAGAGGGAGACCAAAGAAAATATGGATGGATTGTGTGAGAAATGATTTGGAAGACAGAGGAGTTAGTGATAGCGTGACGGGTGACAGGACAGAATGGAAGAAAAAAACACATTGCGCCGACCCCAAATAAAACGGGACTAGGGCAGGAAGATGATGATGTACTCAAATATATAAGCAATGTGCAGTATGTTCGAGCACTCGCTGTGGAATTGTCGTTTCTTAAGAGACAATACATGAATTAGTCGGCGACAGTCTTTTATTGTGTCTCGGTCCTCGGTGTCACCCATCAAATTAGTAATTCGTAATTATAGCAAACGCAAAAGCAAACGTGGTGATTAATGCTCAAAACTTTTAAGTGTTTGAGAGCCATGCTTCGGCACGAATGGGTCGGCTCGACCGGAGTGATACCACGGCCTCACAGAAAACCGGCGTGAAACAACCACAGCGTTGTGTTTCGCGGTGTGAGTGAGGTTACCGGTAGCCCAATCCTTCCCCTTCCCGGACCCTTCCCCAATCCCTAAATCTCCAAATCCCTAATCCCTAAAAGGTCGGCAACGCACTCGTAACTCCTCCGTTGCGGGTGTCCATGGGCGGCGTTGATTGCTTACCATCAGGTAATCTGTCTGCTCGTTTGCCGACTTATTACATTAAAAAAAAAACTTGTCCTTCTTAGAAGAGGCCTTTGCTCAACAATGGTCTGTTAATATGCTAATAATTTTAACTTCTATAACACTTATATAATATTTTTATTCTATTTCCAGTTCCCAAACATCGATCTACGTTCACTGGTTTATACCATCCAACGAAGACATAGGAGACTTTATTGTGTACTTAAGAGACAGCACAAATAAACTCCTGTATTCATCCGACGTTGCTTACAACTTGCGTTCCCTCACCATTCCTATAGAGGAAGCCCTCAAGACCTCCCTACAAGACAAGAGGGACCATGAGATATGTATTCAAGCGAAATATTCCAATAATACGCCTCGAAAATGGCATCCAAGTCAATGTCAGAGAGTTTTGGAAGACTTCAGTTCTTGGCCTAAAAAATTGAATGTCGATAAAAGGAGGTTGACTAAGAAAAGAGTAAGTTACTCCTGGTTCGGTAATAATGTACTGAGTCTGGTTAGCGATTCTATTTTGATAACTCTGTGTATATTTTTGAGTGTATGTTTAAAATTAACCGATGATTTGTAGTTCCTTATTTATATATATAATGTGAAACTACAGATTTTTGGCTGATTTTCAAATTTGCATTCTTAATTTTTGACTGGATTGTTACGAATGTTTTTCTACCAAGTCAGTGGGTTAAGTTGGGATGATGGTAGCGTGTCAAATACTTCAAATCCTTGAATCTTCAAATCACTAAAAGATCCGAAATGCATTCGTAACTCCTCTGTTGTTGCGGATGTCCATGGGCGGCGCTGATTGCTTACCATCAGGTAATCTGTCTGCTCGTTTGCCGACTAATCACAATACTTTTTTATATTGAAATGACAAAAATGAATTTTTGCTTATGATTACTAAGATATATATTTTTTAATTGATACTTACGTAGCTTAAATTAGAAATAAAAAGGAAATAATAACATTAATCTGAATCTTAAATCAGGCAATGAGAGAGAGAGATTTTTTTTAATATAATGTTTTTATATGTGAACATAATTAGGTCATGACTGGGTCATCATCCTTAAAAAATATAGCTTTCAAAACAATATGTTTTTTGTACGTAATTTTGTTAAGAGAAATTGAAAAAAAAAAATAATGTGTACTTAAATAAATTAATTGAAATTTGATTAATTCAGAATTAGATATTATATTATATTATGGGCTGATTTTTCAATAGTCAGATAAATGTTATCTGAGGAATAAAATTGTTGCTGTCACTGTCTTATACAAACATTCTGACGCGACAGCATCATAATTATTCCCCAGGTAACTTTTATCTAACCATTGAAAAATCAGCACTTAATTTATTATACAATGAATTTATATTTGACTGTAGAAACATTCCAAAAATTCTAATGACAAAGTTTTGAATTTAAAATATTAAACAAGATTACATTGATTTAAGTCCGTCAGCTAAAGTAGTGAATGTGTAAACTTGAGATACCTGGTTTGGCCCGACCGGAGTGATACCACGGCCTCACAGAAAACCGGCGTGCAACAACCACAGCGTTGTGTTTCGCCGTGTGACTGAGGTTACCGGAGGCCCAAGACTACCCCTACCCCTATCATCGTTCCTAATCCCCAAAAACATCGGCGACGCACTCGAATCTACTTTGTGTGAGGTTACCGGAGTACCAACCTACCTCCCCCCCTCCCAAGTTAATGTCTGTACATTGAGTCCATCTTTATTTTCGTACTTATATAAAAAATAACTAACTAAATTATCTTCTAAACTGTTTTTTCTATATTAAGTTTCTTATTTTCAATCAATTATAATTCTCAGCCTATCAGTGCCCACTGCTGATCAAAGGCCTCTTCTCACACGGAGAAGGTTTGTGCATTAAACACCAAGCTCGCTCAAGGCGGATTTGAAACTTGTAATTTGAAATTATAACTCAAGGTTTCCTCACATTTTTTTCTTTCACCGTATGTCAGCGGTGTCTAAATAATCATAGAAAGTACATATACCACGACATTTTTAATTAAAAACATTTACTTATTACTTTAATTTGTAAAAGCTACATTTCATCACGAATGGGTCGGCTAGACTAACGTGATACCACGGCCTCACAGAAAACCGGCGTGAAACAACCACAGCGTTGTGTTTCGCCGTGTGAATGAGACTCCCTCTCAACTCCGATCTTCAACATCCCAATCAAAAAGTCTGACAAGGCGCTTATAACTCTTCTATGTTGTAATTTTCGATAGGCGACGACATCTGCTTACCATCAGGTAATCCGTTTGTTGGCCCATATAGTTTTCTTTTTTCAATATCTTTAACTGACGGACTAGTGGATGAAATCTGACCTCAATCCAGAATTTTAGGACTGAATCTCTATGATGGATTGGTTGTATGATAAGCCTAGGGTACGAAAAGCACACTAATCTTTAACATCTGGTTTCCGAAAGGCCGATCAATGTTAAAATCAATTTAATCTCTTGTCAAGTCATCTGATTGGTTGACTGAATTGTCAACAACCAATCAGATGACTTGACAAGAGATTTAAGTAAGTAAGTAAGTTTATAATTTATTTGCATAAAACACGGTATAGAAGTGGTGTTATAAATACATAGGAATGAAAAGCACAATCGTGTTTCACTAAAAAAATATGCAAAATTTAAAAATTAAGTAAATTAATATTATGTAACATAATAATAACCATAACATATTAAAACATATGCTCCATGAATTGTTTTAAACTATAGAAGTTACATTTATTGAACAACATACAATTCAGACTAGACTATTTTTTTATTAATTGACATGGTAACTTAATGAAAATTCGCACACAAAGTCAAAGTCAAAGTCAAAAGTCAAAGTCAAAAATCATTTATTCCAATTAGACCTTTACAGGCACTTTTGAAAGTCAAACAAAAATTTTGAAGATATCGTGTCAGTCTGTCGGTCAGTCCTCTTAGTGAAGCTATTTGCTCGTTCCAAAGTGTAGATTCCGCCCCGCCACCCATCGCCAAACTGCTTTTATTATACTTAGTAAGTCTCGGAAAGTCATTCAGAACCAGTCTATGTGGGTCTCGTCAAATAACACACACATAACGTTAACAGGAGATTAGTTAATTTTAGCGTTGACAAGCCTTTCAGAAACCGCGTGTAACCCTTTTACCTGTGACTCAAAAATAACTCTTGATAAATGGGTGTTACAATTGTCATATACATCTTTGTGTACCCCACTTAGGGTTGATTTTTCAATAGTCAGATAATTAAATGTTATCTGAGAAATAAAATTGTTGCTGTCACTGTCTTATACAAACATTCTGACGCGACAGCATCATAATTATTCCACAGGTAACTTTTATCTAACCATTGAAAAATCAGCCCTAAGAAGTGTATGTATATATGTATATGTTATGTATGTTTAGTAAATATGTGATAATTTGTATATAAAAAATGATCTTCACAATTTTTTTTAAGCTTTAATTTCATTATGTAAAATGTTTTTTTTTTTTGTAATATACAATTTCATTTTTTTGTATAGTAATTCTTGTGAGACGTACTCGGCCTTAATAAAAAACACGTTGTTTTTTTAGTTTGACTCTAAAAACCATTGAGCCAGTTATTGCATTTCAAATTGAAGGTAGGTGACAATAAGATTCAAAATGCAAAACCTAACTCAATAGTTTGAACCTAAACTAAGGATAAATTCTTGTTTTATTATAAGGGAGACTTACACCCGGTTTCCGAAAGGCCGATCAATGTTAAAATCAATTTAATCTCTTGCCAAGTCATCTGATTGGTTGACTGAATTATCAACGACCAATCACATGACTTGTCAAGACATTTAACAGGAGATTAGTTAATTTTAGCGTTGACAAGCCTTTCAGAAACCGGTTGTTAGTCGAATTGAAAATAACGACTTACAATACGGCCGCCGTATCTTGGCGAGTCTGAAGCTGCGCAGTATACAGTTTTGTTCCTAAAAGATTCATTGCGCAGACAAACGGCTAACTTCAGACTCGCCAAGATTCGGCGGCCGTACTGTACTCATGTGAATTCACTGAGAACAGTGAACATGAATATGACTCCTGTTGTGACTTGAAACTGGGTCGGCACGACCGGAGTGATACCACGGCCTCACAGAAAACCGGCGTGAAACAACCACAGCGTTGTGTTTCGCCGTGTGAGTGAGGTTACCGGAGGCCCAATCATTCCCTTCCCCAAATCTCTAACCCTAAAAGGTCGGCAACTCGTAACTCCTTTGTTGTTGCGGGTGTACATGGGCGGCGCTGATTGCTTACCATCAGGTCATGCGTCCGCTCGTTTGCCGACCTATGACTTAAAAAAAACTAGTAGAGCTTTTCACAGTTAATCTACAGATCTACATATAAGTAAGTCGTTATTTTCATTAAAAAAAAATATTATTTTGACATTTTTTTGTAAGTAATTTTTTTTGTGAATCTCAAAGACTAATAAATAACATGATTTTTTTACCCGTATTGCTTTTTTTTATAAGGAGACCTTAAGATTATTTGCTGCGCAATTCAGAAAAATATTTTATTAAGTGTAGGTAACTAAAATTGTCCTTTTCTGTCTCTTTTCAACTTTTTTTTCAATATGTTCTTAATTAAGATTTTAGACCATGATATATTGTCAAAAGTCAAAAATCATTTATTCCAATTAGACCTTTACAGGCACTTTTGAACGTCAAACAAAATTTAAATTAAAAAATAGTGTCAGTCTGTCGGTCAGTCCTCTTAGTGAAGCTATTTGCTCGTTCCAAAGTGTAGATTGCGATGGAGAGGAACGAGCAAGAAACTCCATGGTTACTCTTTTTAAATCAGTTTCACATACAGATTCCTTTTACAAACAGTTGGTTCAATTATGTGAGAACAGTGTAACACTAATATTTATTCAAATATAAAAATAAAGTAACCTTAAGGACAATAGACAGTCAAATTAGTATATTGTGTACGATAACCAAGTTTTTATGATTTTCGACTTAATATTTTATATGGTAACTTTCACCGCGAAAAAGACCTTAAGAAATCATGTTATTTAAAAAAAAAACATATTTTTATACTGAATTTTGTTATATTATACTATATTGTGATTGTAAAGAGCTCAAAAATAAGATATTTTTTTTAAATATTAAATATACAAGATGTAAAAAAAAAAATTTTTTACTAAAAAATAACGGTTTATAGTTGACTGTCTTATAGTTAAAGGCTACTAAAGTTGCGTTTTCTTAGACAGACAAAGTAGTATTGATATATAATTATGGTGCTAAAAAATATCTACCAACTGACGCATACGAAGCGCCGCCTGGCGGCAGAAAAAGTATCGAAAGCTCTCATTCGCTGAAGTCATTCGACATTTATGACATATAATTTAATCGACAATTATTATATTTATATTATCGATATTAGGATATAGGAATAAAAGCCTACTAAGCGAGGGCAGCACCCCCTTTCTAAGTCGGGGCTGTCAGAGAAAAAAAAAACTGTTTCACGCGCTTTTGTACCGTAAAGCCGATTTCTTAAATTATAATTGTCTATTCATTAATATCATTGTTAATAATATGAATGTTTTATACTTACTGTTTTTTTGACATTCTTTTTGAATTTTATTTTTATATTGTATATTTGTAAGGAAAAAAATGAAAATCCGTCCGAATTTTTTTATATTTTTATTTTTACTGTAAGTATACACAAATTGAATAAATAAATAAAATAAATAAAGTTACCCTTATGTATATTAATAAATGCATTTTTATTTACTGACATAATTTACCTAGAAAAACTATAGACAAAATCTATACATATTTTTCAAATGTCAATAGTTTTTTAGTGTAGCAGCCAGTAGCCATGCTTCGGCACGAATGGGTCAGCTTGACTAACATGATACCACGGCCTCACAGAAAACCGGCGTGAAACAACCACAGCGTTGTGTTTCGCCGTATGAGTGAGGTTACCGAAGGCCCATTCCTTATATTCTCTCCATCAATTACCCAATTCCTCAATCCCCAAAACCCCCTTATGCCTAAAAGGCCGGCAACGCACTCTGGTGTTTGCTTACCATCAGGTAATTCGTACAAAATAAAATAATACATTTGTATTAGATTACGTCATAATTTTGCGTCAAATGAAATAAGTACCTACTTATATTAAAACAATTTTGAAAATAATATTAAGATTAGGAAATTTTAAAATAATTAACCTTCTAAAAGTCAATCATTAAGAAAGCATCATTATTTTGAGAAAAAAGTAAAATAGATTTACTTTTGACTAAGCATTTGTATTATATTATACCTTATAAATAATTAGTGTTTTCCAGCGGCTTTGCCCGCGATTTCGAGTTAAAAAGTAACCTATGTTTCATTCCAGAATATAATCTACCTCTGTTATAAATAATTAAAAAAATAATGATTCGAATTTTACATTAAGATATTTAAAAACAAACTAGGATATGGATAATAATAAATAAAATAAATTATTACTTTTTTCTTAAAATAAAAACGTTGCCCCCACTAAGATTTTCCACTGTATCATAGGTGAGTTTACAAACATACCATTTCACAATACATATTTAAATAAATAAATAAATAATTCTTAAAATAATAATGTAGGTAACCCTACGCTAGGATTGTCTCCTATGTCGTGGATGAGGTTATAAACATACAATTTCACATACACATTACACCCAGACCCGAAACAACAATTTATGAATCACAAAAAATATCTGTCGATTCCATCCCACTACAACAACGCTAACGTTCTTTTTGCTCCATAGATGGCGTTAATGTAGCATAAGGTCCTTTTTGTCCAATAAGGATTTTAGTAGTATTAAACTTCAAATATTAAACTTATAAATTAGAAATTGTAACTAAGGAAGCAGATATTACTTAGGCACATTTCGAAACTTATGCATAAGAAGCGGGCCCCTTAACATTGGGGCTACCACGACACAGTATTAAAAGTTAATATTATTGTTCGATTTGTCCTTTTCTGAATATTGTATAAAGTGTGTAGTTATATTTAATTAGCACAACCATATATTTGTATAACGAGAGGTCGAAGACGTTAACTATGTGGCTTAGGTTCCTCGCTATACTCTGCAACTTCATAGGGTTCGTGGCTCTTATAAGTAGGTATGGTCTTGTATGGAGGCGATGCGTTGCTAACTTCAGGCGAATAGGCATTCCAATCTCCTGGGTAGTAAGAACCTGGAAGCAGAGAAATTTTATTTAAAAAAAATACTCCTTTTAAGTACAAATTATGAGTAAGAGATCTTTCATTGCTAGAAAGAGCCAATACTTATTTAGTTTTCATTTTTAATATGTGAATCTTACAATGATTAGACGTCAAATTCAAGTCGTTAATTTCAAACAGACACAAGAGACATTTTTGAAAACCAACCTAAAAATAATAATATAAAAAAAACAACTTTATGTGTGTCAGTCCAGTCTGTCGGTCAGTCCTCTAGGGAAGCTATTTGCTCGCTCCAAAGTGTAGATTCCAATGGAGAAGAACGAGCAAGAAACTCCATCGTTACTCTTTTGGGTCAGTGGGTCGTCTTAGGGGCGGAGTTCAGTTTCACAATTCATTTCTTTGTTGCATCATTTAGTCGGTTTCGGAACAGTGTAACATTAATGTTTAGGCATAGAATCCGAAAAAGTTATATATCTTGAAGGACATACATTTAGACACGATGACATGACAATTGAGAGCTAAATAAGTACACAAGAGAAAATCCCACTAACAAAATGAAATATAAACGAATTGAATAAAAAAAGTTTCCAACAAAATCTCATATTATTGAATAAATAAATATTAGCGATTTAGGGCTGATTTTTCAATAGTCAGATAAATGTTAACTGAGCAATAAAATTGTTGCTGTCACTGTCTTATACAAACATTCTGACGCGACAGCATCATAATTGTTCCACAGACAACTTTTATCTAACCTTTGAAATATCAGTCCTTAATCTAAATTAAATAGTAAAATCCTTACCGGTATCTGACAGACTTCGATCGTAGCCTGCAAATAGAAAAAAAAATAACTTTTTATAAAAATATAATTCACGGAAGTGAGTCGTTATTTTTTACATATTTAGTATGTCTCACTTTAAATAGTTACTATCTATACAAAAAACTATTTATTCTATTTAAATTCTATTAAGATTTTGTTAGAGAACTCTTTTAATAATAATTAGGCCTGCCGGCACTAGAGCTGAACCAACCGTGGCGGTTTTAAACCGTGTCACGTAAACGATTATGGGCCCCGGCGTTGCTTGAAATTAGTCTAGAAAGCTCGTTCAACAGTCGAATGTCGTATAACTTAAGACGGTAGGTAAAATTTGCCGATTTATAGACTCGAAATTTCGTACTTTCTAAAATAGGTTCTTATTGCTTGGTCCCAAATAATCACCAAAGACTCTTTACAGTCTAACACCCGGTTTCTGAAAGGCTTGTCAACGCTAAAATTAACTAATCTCCTGTTAAAAAGTCATCTGATTGGTCGTTGATAATTCAGTCAGCCAATCAGATAGATGACTTGACTTGACAAAAGATAAATTGATTTTAACATTGATCGGCCTTTCGAAAACCGGGTGTATTAGGTGATTACATAATCTCCACGCCTGGCAGACGGGTTGGAGATCGCAGTTTAACAGATTCAGATGTCAATTTCGTCATTATTGTTCCGTATTATCATCTTACCATGATGTTCTATTGGCGGTGACCAGGAGTATTCATGGTGGCTGTGCTTCGCTTTGAGTGCCGTGAAAAATGATGCAACCTGAAAACAAAGAAATGCATAAAAAAAACAATCGACATGGCGCCCAATTTTTATTTTTATTCTTTTTTTTTATTTGGTATCTGACAGACAGTCTTTTTAGATATTTTTTTTATTTTCGTTTCTAGTCGTATGAAAGGCCAGGACAGGCGAGGCAAGAAGACCGGTATACCGGATTGGTTTTTAGTCAGTAATAGTCTGACTTTACTCGGCGTTCTTCATAGGCTACGAGATTATATAAGGGAGCAATCCTTCTCACGTCCCAGCCGTCGCAAGAGACCCTTTGGGCGTCGGGGATCGGTCGACGGTGCCCGGCCGTCACAAACAATGGCCAGGGGTAGCTCGTCGCCCGACCAGAACCAGATCTTCAGATCACCATAAATGGGGCCAAATAGGCAATAATGTACGTGGCTTCTGTCTTTTAGCTGGAGAAGTAACGGGGTGGTTTTTAGTCAGTAAGAGTCTGACACTCCTTAGCCTCACCCTGGGCGGGAGAAATCATTTGATGATTGTGAGGGGAAACCTCACAAAAGAAGTCTTGTGAAACTTATTTTATAGTTTTGACTTTTTTCGGTACGATATTACATCCAGATGTATTATAGGTTACTTTTAATCATACAACATGTTTAAATGAGATGGATGTGATCTCTGCCCACATCTGCAGGTAAAAAGAGCGGAATGTTACAAGTATTACATCACATAAGTGTGGGAGAGCCATGCTTCGGCACGAATGGGTCGGCTCGACCGGAGTGATACCACGAAAACCGGCGTGAAACAACCACAGCGTTGTGTTTCGCCGTGTGACTGAGGTCACCGGAGGCCCAATCCTTCCCCTCCCCCAATCACTCCTCAATCCCTAAATCTCCAAATTCGTTATCCCTAAAAGGTCGGCAACGCACTCGTAACAGTAACTTACGTTGCGGGTGTCCATGGGCGGCGCTGATTGCTTACCATCAGGTAATCCGTCGGCTAGTTTGCCGACATATTACATAAAAAAACATCAGCTGAGTAAAAGCCTCTTCTCACACGGAGAAGGTTTAAAAGTCATTGGTTTATTTTCACTTCACAAAAAAGCGTAACTAACGTAGCTGCGGGCAAAAAGTCTGTGTTTTTTTTAAATACTCATCAAAGAGGCATTTGACCTCCTTACACCAATCGAGCCTCAATTGAAAAATATGTAGCAAAAACTGTACTTAAGATATTTGATCTACGATATTGAATTTGCAAAGCAATTTTAATACTTATTATTGATTTTGTTAAGTGCGTTTGAGCTGAAACTTGGTTCTCGTTAAGCAACTTATCAACGCCTTGATTAAGTAGGTAGATACATTTTCGAAAAAGAGTTTAAAGAGACAGAAAGCGGCCATTTTAAGTTTCCATGCAAATACATAAACTTGGTAATTGCTCGTTATTTTTTTCATAAAAAAAGTTGGCAAAACAAAAGAGTTACGAATGTGTTGCCGGACTTGTCGGGATTAGGGTTCCGGATATTTAAGAGTTGAACTCACATGGCGACACACAACGCTGTGGTTATTTCACGTCGATTTCGACACTGTGAGGCCGTGGTATCACTCCGGTCGAGGCGACCCATTTGAGCCGAAGCTTGCCTCTCCAACTTGATTTTTTGAAGGAAAATTCGAAAATCGGGGTTTTTAGTCAGTAAGAGTCTGGCACCCGTTTCACCTTAGACGACAGAAGTCATTTGATGTTTTCCCTTTTCCGCTCGCAAAAACCGGCCAAGAGCATATTGGTTCCGTAGCGTTCCGTCTGTCACTATAATTGAGTTATTTGAAATCTTTAAACCGCAATTCAGCGTAAGTAGCTAAAGTACAGCACCATCTCTTAGGCAATTAGGTAACTAATTAACACTAACAAGAGAGGTTGTTAACTTTGGATTCTGAAAGCCGATTTTTATAATACTTTTTGTTTTTTATTTGAAAGAAGATACGTTCCGAATAATGAAACGTAATAATATCAACGAGGTTAAAAAATGCTTGCATATACAGTTAAATTACAAAATAATTTCGGTATTTTTTTGTAAAACTTCAAAAACTGTTCAACCTATAGAGTTCACAATAATTTTCCTAGAAAGAATGTGTGTGAGAAGTTTAGTTTAGCTTTTTCGGTCGCCTTTTTTTAAACTTTTGGGGCGATTATTTCCGAAAATATTAACATTATCAAAAATAATCTTAGTAAACTCCTATTCGTGTTCAAATTTCAGCTTTCTAGTGCTAAGATTATTATGACAGGACGGACAGACAGACAGACAGACATGGCGAAACCACAAGGGTGCCTAGTTTACTGCAGAACCCTAAAAGGACACAGTGAAAAATAAAACAACATGGCTGTCTCTCAAGACATTATAATCTAATATTTCGATCAGAAAGTAAATACAACGTCTCGCTGGCCACTTGGAAACTAGACGAGCCTGGATACCAATCAAATTACTAAAGCAAAAAAGAAAAAAAATATCTTGTTACAAAATTACACTTTCAAATTTTTGAAACCTCTTTTGAAAACGCGGTTAAAAAGTGAGAGGGAATACTTTTTAGTTTTTGAAATCTAAGTAGGTACGTTTCATGTGACTGTAGACTTTTTTTTCTATACTTCGACAAACCAGCAGACAAATTACCTGATGGTAAGCAATCGAATTGAAGAGTTAAGAGTGCACCATCATCATCATCAGCCTATAAGTGCCCATTGCTGAGCAAAGACCTCTTCTTACACGGAGAAGGTTTGAGCTTTAACCACACACTTGCTTAGAACGAAATAGCGATTTCAAACTTATAATCCAAACTAATATTATAAATGCGAAAGTAACTCTGTCTGTCTTTTCTTCACGCCTAAACTACTGAACCGATTTCTGTGAAATTTGGTACAGACATATGTAGTTTGGAACTCGAGAAAGGCCATAGGATAGTTTTTATACCAACAAACTGCTGGAAGTTGGAAGTCACTATTCCACGCGAACGGACTCGCGGGCAAAAGTTAGTAAGAAATTATAAGTCCAGGTTTCCTCACGATGTTTACCTTCACCGTATGACAGTGGTGTCTAAATAATCATAGAAAGTACATATAACTTGGAAAAAGTCACATTGGTACTTGTCAAGTTTCCAACCCACAACCTCATACATGAGAAGCAGGCGCCTTAACTTCTAGGCTACAACGATACAAACAAAATACCTAAGTTTTTTTTTATGGTATAAGTCGGCAAACGAGCTGACAGATTACCTGATGGTAAGCAATCGGCGCCGCCCATGGACACCCGCAACACCAAATGAGTTACAAGTGCGTTGCCGGCCTTTTGGGGATAGGGGTTGCGGATAAAAAGAACGGGAAGGGATAGGAGAAGGGGAGGGATTGGGCCTCCGGTAACCTCACTCACACGGCGAAACACAACGCTGTGGTTGTTTCACGCCGGTTTTCTGTGAGGCCGTGGTATCACTGCGGTCGAGCCGACCCATTCGTGCCGAAGCATTGGTCTCCCACACTTGAACTTTCATTTATTTTTTTACCTGAGCGTAATTTGGCACTGGTTATGCCTTTGTGAATTCTATCGTAATAGAAATAAGATATAAATTACAATGCTTGACGCATTATCAAGTAGTACTCAATCAAGTTGGGTACAGGCAGATTGATATTTCATTTCTTTTTCAGTCTCAGAATAGGCCTAAAATAAAAGTGAAAGAATTCTTTCTTTCGGCCATTATCTTTTCAATAGATCTCTTTTTTTATTTCACTTTGATTGGCTATTCTAAGTTTTACAATGCCGTGCTTTCTCTGAAGTTAAGTTTGCTATGCATTTTTCTTTTATGGAATAGGAGGCAAACGAGCAGACGGATTACCTGATGGTAAGCAATCAGCGCCGCCCATGGACACTCGTTATTTCCAAGGAGTTACTACAAGTTCATTGCCGGCTTCTTTCCGTTTTTAGGGATTTAAGGCTAGGAGATTTGGGGATTGAGGATGGTCGGTAAGGTTGGGATGGATTGGGCTTCTGGTAACTTCATTCACACGGCGAAATTCACGCAGGATTTCTGTGAGGCCGTTTTATCACTACCATTCTTTAAAGTGAGAAGACTCTTGCGTCGTTTAAAAGCTTACATAGGGATATAGGAACAGAGAAGAGGAAATTCTTTTGATGTGTGATAATCATTAACTTGGATTTCTCTCGACGAGGGTATGGCGAGGGGGAGTGTCAGACTCTTACTGACTAAAAAATAGCCGTTCCTTCTCCTGCTTTAGGTCAGGGGCCGCGGTACCTTATGGCGCTTGAACTCGCAAACCTTGCTGAACATGAGGCCTGTTATGCCCCTTCTGTGATGGTCTGTTGGCTGTTTACTCGAGTCTGGTTCTGGTCAGGCGCTACTCTTCCTCGCCGTCCGCAGACCCTCACTTATGGTGCCTGGAGATCGTCGCGCGATACCTGATGTTTGGAAACCTGTGACTCTTTCCAAGTTATACGCACTTTCTTAGATTATTCATACTGTGAAGGAAAGCATCGTGATCAAACCTGAACTTATAATTTGTAATCGAGCAAGCGGGGGATTAATGTTTAAACCTTCTCCGTGTGAGAAGAGGCTTTTGCTCAGCAGTGGGCACTTATAGGCCTAGTTTTGATGTGTGATTCAATAAAATCTATGTTAGCTAATTTTTTTTTACGTCATTGGTCGGCAAACGAGCATACGGATTACCTGATGGTAAGCAATCAGCGCCGCCCATGGACACCCGCAACGGAGGAGTTACGAGTGCGTTGCCGACCTCTTATGGGTAAGGGATATTTAGATTTAGGGATTGGGCGAAAGGAAGGCTTGGGCTTCCGGTAACTCACACGGCGAAACACAACGCTGTGGTTGTTTCACGCCGGTTTTCTGTGAGGCAGTAGTATCTATCACTCCGGTTGAGCCGACCCATTCGTGCAATCGTGCCGAAGCATGGCTCTCCCACACTTAAATTAAATTTAAATAACCTTTGTAGATATGTATTTTATAAGAACTCTTTAA